AGTTTCTTTAAAGTATTATTAAACTAAAAGTACTTAATTAAAATTAGCTTAATATTTAGGTTAATTAATAAAAGGACTCCTTTACTACTATTCTTACGCTTAAAATACTTTTTATTATTTAGCTTAGTCTTATAACTACTAGTAAACTAATAATTATTATTAGATTAGTAGTTATAACTAGCACTAGACTCTTAAAATATATAATTAGTATACTAATTTAAGAACTCCCTAAGAAGAGACATACACTTAAAATAAGAAGCTATAACCTAGATATCCCCCTCTAGATCTAGACTAACTTACTTCTAGAAGCTATAAGTATAGTAACTATATAGTATAATATTATAAACACTATACGCCTAAATTAAAAGTAAGTTAACTATAAGAGTATAACTAAGGAGCTTTTAGAATAGTACTCTAAAGTAACTAGTATAGGCCTTACTTATAAAAACATAATATAAAAAGATAAAAAAGCTACTTATAAGACTAGGATTTATTAAGATTTTATATAAGATAGCCTAATTTATATATAACCCCTAAAAGTTAATTATTACTTAACTAATAGTTTTATTACTAAATAGAGTAATAATTTAAAGCTTATAATATAGCTCCCTAGCTAAGCCTAGTAGCTTATACTAAATAGTATACTTTAAATACTAAAAGAAACTTATAATTAGTAATAGCTTTAAAAAGTAAAAAGACTAATTAACTTATAACTATATAATTTAAAGTAACTTACTAGAAATAATATAGGATATTCTAGCTCTTAAGGAACTCCTTACTAAGCATAAAGCTTAACTACTACTAAAGATAAATTTATATAAGTAAGGTATAATTAACTTTATAATTATTAATAGCGTTTAGGTTAGATATATTAACTATTAATAATAATAAATCTAAAAAACTAAGATAGTAAGGTAAAAATTTAAGTTAATTAATAAAAGTAGTTATTAATAAAAGGGTTTAAAAGTAAGTTAATAAGGAAAAGATTTTCCTTTTTATCCTTAGGAAGGTTAATCTACTAAAAAAAAAAGGCGTAGTAAACTAATCTAGGTAAGTAAGAAAAAGAACTAACTAACTAATTTATAATTAGCTTAAAGAAATAAATTACTACCTTACTTACTAATAATAAGTAAATTACTTTTTTTTTCTCTTAATTTTACTTTATTTACTAAGTTATTTTTTTCTAGCTCTAATTAAGGCCTTTTTTACTTATTACTATATTAACTTACCTTTTTTCTTTTTAATTAATCTTTTCTTTTTTACTTTTTTAATAATAATAATAATTATTTAAGTAATAATCTAGTTATTCTTTATAAAAGCTACTTTTTTCTTTATATACTATTAAACCTAATTTTTTTTTCTTTATTATAATTACTACTTAAAATTATATACTATATTATATACTTACTAAACCTAAGACTAATTACTTTTTTTTCTTTTACTACTAAACGCTATTATAATATTTTTTATTAGCCTAATCTCTCCTTTTTTATAAAACTATAGCAGTATAGCTACCTAAATCTAGCGCCTTTATACTATTTATAACTTTAAGAATAACTTATATAACTATATAGAACGCTAGTAATTAAATAGACTAATTAGATTTAAGACTATACTACTAGCTATAACTAAAGAAGCTTAAAACTCCTAATTTATTAATTTTAGTATAAATAACTACTTTAGCTACTAGACTTAGGTATACCTATAAGTTATACTTAATTAAAATAGTTTTATATACTTTATTTTAACTAAACTTAATATATATTTTCCTAACTAGCTCCTTTAGGAGGATATAGATTAGTTCTTATAATAGTAACTAGTAGCCTTTATAAGTTAAGATAGTTAGTAAGAATAATAAGGCTAAAGCTATTAGAAAGTAAAAGTTATTTTCTTTAATTACTATAACCTATAAGGTTAACTACTTTAAAAAGATTAAATAAAAAGAAATAAGATTACTATAGCGTTAGAGGTTATAACTTAGGACTTATTACTAGTCTATAATATTATAGTAGTTCTAATTAGCTAGAAATATTTTATTAATTTAAATATTACCTTAGTCTTAGTTCTTTAGTTACTTACTACTTATAAAGTAATTAGGACTTTTATATACTTAGTTTTCTTTTTACTATTTATTAATTATCTTAAACACTTTATAAGAATAATTATTAACTAATAAGATAGTATAGTCTATTAGTATAACCCTTTTTAAGAGGTAGGCTAATCTAAAGTAATCCTTATTAATAATATCTTAGTGCTCTAAAGATTTTACTAAGATATAGAGGCCTTACTATATATTAAAAATCTAATTAACACTAGTGCTTATATTATTAATATAGCCTAATAGCCTAGCTTATAGGAGTATAGTCTTTATATTTTAGAATAGTTCTAAATAGTAGTTTAGTATAGTAAATTATACCTAACTAGGAATCTTATTTTCTAAAGTAATAAAATAAAAAGTACACTAAGTAATTAAATATATATATACTAGATTTAGTAAATTAGCTATAAGTTTTACTATAAAAGTAACTAAGTTAATAATACTATATATAATACTTTAGGAATATATCTTAAGGATATTTATAGTTAATATAGAAATATTTATATAAAGATATTAGTAAGTACTAAATTAGACTATATAATTATTAAGAAGCTACGTTTAAGGCTAGGCTTTATAGTATTAATTAAATAAAGTATACTAACTAATCTTTAGATCTTTAGCCTGTATTATTATTAATTAGTTACTAGCTAAAGATAGCGTTTACTACTTAGACTATTACTAGGCTTTATACCTTAAAACCTACCTAATTAGTCTACTTTAGTAATAAACACTATTAAAAGAGGGTCTAATTCTAAGTATACTTCTATAAGTCCTATACCTCCTAGTTAAATATTACTAGTTACCTTATAACTAATTCCCTAGATACTTAATATAACGCTATAATTAGAGAGACTTATATATTTACTTATAAACCTATATTTACTTTCTATTTTATCTAAGCTAACTTTATTATTAGTTACTAGAACTAGGCCTCTAGCTTAGGTTTTACTTAAGATTAAAGACGTTATAAAGAAGAACCCTCTAACTTAGGCTTAACTACTTTAGAAACCTCTATTAATTAAGTAAAGTAAAGACTTATAGTTAATAGAGATAACTTCTTAAGATCTAAACTTATAGTTAGGATAAGTAGATTATAAGTTAATACTTAGTAAGTTAAAGCTTAATTAGTAAAAAGCTAATAAGTTACTTTAATAAAAGGCTATAAATTACTATTAATAACTACTATACTACTAAAATAAGCTTTTTAAGAAACTAGTAATTAATAGGTATATATAAAAGAAGTAAGTTAATTAATATAATAACTTAATTAATAAGTTAGCTTATATAACCTATATATATATACCTTAAGTACTACTATTATTAAGCTAGGATTAAGAGGGCTAAGATTATAAGGACGTAAGGCTTTAATAAGATTACATAAAGGAGGTGCATAAGCAGGAGGTAGAGGCTAAGAAGAAGAATAAGAAGAAAAGCTAACGCTAATTTACTATAAAAGTAGTTATATAAGGGCTAATCTTAAGGATAATTTCTCTTTAAGAGGACTTATAAAGAAGAAATTAGGGGATAATTAGAGTAAGGTAAGGTAATTAGCCTAAAGTAAGATAGTATACTAGCTAATTAGAAGATCTTAATCCTAATTAAGTATAAAGATATAAGCTAGCGTTAATAGATTTAGAGATAAATATATAGAACTTATTTTTTATGCTTATACTTACTTTTTAATTAAACTAAAGCCTTTTTATAATTTACCTTTAATTATAATAATATAAGATAATTAAGAGTATTACCTACCTAATTAAGGTATAATTATACTTAATTCTATAGTTTAATACTTATAATTAATATTAATTCTAAATAGATTAAGATAATTTATATACTAATTAGTAAGGAATCTTATATTGCTTTTAGTAGTTATAGTGTTCTATATAGTTACTACACTATAAGAGTCCCTTATACCTTATACACTTATAGTAATTAAAGTGTTATAACTAGTTTCTAAGTAGTAAGGTTTCTACTAATAGTAAGTAGAGGTTAATACTTAATTAATAGTATTTATTATTCTTACTAGTCTATTACTTACTTAGTAATTAGTTAGGTAGTTAAAAGTTATAAGTTTACTTATATAGCTTTTTATTAATTAAATTACTAAGCTTAAATACTAAAAAGTATTTAAAGAATATATTATAAGTTAATTACTAAAAAGCTATTAAAGTCTGTCCTTAAGTACGTCTAAGTTTATCCTATATATAAGTCCTAACCTTTCCCTAAATAGTTCCTTTAACTAATAGTTATAAGTAATTACTATCCTTATATAAAGTAAGCGCTTAGTAAATACTAGTAAGCGCTTACTTTTATAATTACTAGTAATTACCTTATCTTATAATTATTTCTTTATTTTTATATAACTTATACTATAGTTCTTCTATTCTAAGAAGTTATTTATTTATTCCTTATTTCTTATCTATATAAATACTACTGCTGCTTACTATCTGTCTGTTAGGTGGGGTAATATAGCCTATAACTTATTAGGTTATAATAATAATTTAGCTTTCTTTAAAAAAAGAGTTTATATTTATATATAAAAAAAAGTAAGTATAAAGATTAGAGATATAGAAAAGTAATAAATATATATAACTAACTATAATTTATAACTTACTATATAGGTATAATAAGTAAAAAACTTAATAATAAGTATAGTTAGGGCTTAATTATAATAATTATTTTAATTTACTTTCTCTAACCTTTAATTAAGTCCTATAGAGTTTTCCCCTTTTTGTGTTCTTTTAGTAACTAGTTTATCCAGTCCTGGCCCTACTCTAGTGCCCCCCCTGGGGCCCGCTCTGGGCACCTGACAATTGTCTACGTTAAATTCGCCAATGACAAGAATGTTCCCTTTCTTGCATACAATGGCATGCATGGGGCCATCACAACGCTTGAGAAGATGGACAGCGGTATAGAGATCTACATCAACCAGTTGAGCGGCGTTGAAGTCTCTGAGGATGGCAAGACTGCAAAGATTGGCGGTGGCACTGGGTCCAAACTTGTCACTGACACACTCTGGGAAGCTGGAAAGCAGACTGGTAAGTTCAAAGGCATTTCTTCGCCACCTAATATGTCCGGTGGTATTGACAAATGCTGCAGTAACAGGAACGTGCGAATGTGTCAGCACCCTGGGCCCTGCTCTGGGAGGTGGCCACGGATGGCTACAGGGCCACCACGGCCTTGTCTCTGACCAGTTCGTTTCCATGAACATTTTGCTTGCCGATGGAACCCTACCGACCATTGACGAGACGTCGGACCTCTGGTGGGCCGTCAAGGGCGCGGGCCACAACTTCGGTATCGTCACATCGGTTGATGTTAAGATTTATGACATCGAGCACCGCGACTGGGCGGTTGAGACTCTTATCTTCAGCGGCGACAAGGTTGAGACAGTTTAGCAAGCTGCTAATGAGCATATTGTGAAGAACGGTACTCAAGCGGCTGATGTTGTAAACTGGTCGTACTGGCTCAACAACCCTGATGCTGGCCCAGAGAACGTTAGTGCACTTTCCATCTGAGACGTCATTCAGAGGCGTTGTTAACATTTTTCTTGCAGCCTATCATTTTGTTCTGGATCATTCAAGAGGGTGTTACGACAGTCGACCCGCCTACACCCAACCTTTCCGCGATATCGGCCCCATCTCGTCAACTACTGAGTCCGGAACCTACCTTGATCTCGCAGCATGGACTTTTATCGCCCTTGACTCTATCCCTTGCCAAAAGTCTGGTCTTAACAACCCCCGATTTCCCATCTACGTTGAGTCATACAATATCGAGGCTCAACGCAAGGCATATGATCTCTTTGCGTCCTCTATCAGGGGCGACTTACCTTTCACCAACTCTCTCTTCATGTTCGAAGGCTATTCAGTCCAAGGCGTTAAAGCTATTGAGAGCGATTCGACGGCTTTTGCTTACCGCGGCGACAACCTCCTTTTCGCCCCTCTCATCACTTACACCCCTGGCGGTGCAGAACTCGACGAGCAAGCTGCCGCGCTGGGCAACCAACTTCGCGACATTATCCACGAGGGAAGTGGACGTACTGATCAGCATGTCTACCTCAACTATGCATTTGGAAATGAATCCCCAAAAGAGTGGTACGGTAGTGAAGAATGGCGCCAGGACCGTCTCAAGTCTTTGAAGACCAAGTACGACCCCAACGGACGTTTCAGCTTCTATGGACCGATTGCATAGAACGTTACCTCGGCATATATATGTGAGGCGGTTTGAGCTATGCTGCGTCGACTGAAAATACAATACATCGTTCTTGCATTGCACTAGGTCAAACCCATTTGAAAACACTATGTCTTCTACGCAACAGTTTCCATGCGCATGTCTCCGCCTCTCCACGGTCCAGAACTAATGATTGACAGTAGCTCAATGGGAACAGATGACATAAGTTATACGGACCAAATGCCACCGATTACTATGAGGCATGCTCTACTCATATGTATGTACCAACACGTGGAGCAGTTTTCTTGGCTGCGTAATCCAGCGCACAGTTACTCAAAGACATATGTGGTGTTTCTGTTGACCACTCTGCCCACCTTGTCAGCTTGGTATCATGCTTTGTTGATTCGAGCTCTCTTTCTCCCTACAATGGTCATACCATTTCTTGATGTACTAATCTTTGTGTTACAGCTAGCTCTAGCGGACTAAATACAGTTTATTGTAAGAGGAAGCAACAATTAGACCATGCGGCTATGCCGCAAATCGGACATCCAGTGTCCATAGCTCATTACTTCTACGTTCCTCATTGTCTTATTCCGCCTATATTTACTTGTCGTATCAGCAAGCCACTATGTCAATAAGGTTTTGAGTGTAGCAAGGATTAGATGGCAATCAAAACGAGAATCCAACACCAAAATGCCTGGCAAAAGAATGCGTAGCTGGTCTCATCATCAATACCATCTTCGATCATCACCATAATCGTTCGCCAAGATGGCTACTGACACCGACTGGCATGCAAAAGAAAAACATGAAAGGAAGCCTTAAGTTTCACAGCACCAAGAGGTTGTAGGGTTTCACATACCAAAACCGATGAAACGGTTGTCACCAAGATCATACTGTCCGTTACCTGTCAGGAGAGCCAAATATGGCAATGTAACAAATTTTACAGGGTCGGATCTCAGCCGCTCGCAAGCACTTGATTTCAGAATACACGTATCTTCACGTCGTCATCGTCATCTCGATCGCCTCTGCCCCCCGGCTTCTGAGCCCCGCGTCTGCTACGTCTTTCAGCCCCGATGCACTAATGCACCAAACGCAAATATTCAGAGACATCTTCCTTCACAGCTTTCCCGCTTGCTGCGCGAGAACCTCAGGCCGCAAGATCCTCGTAGTTGGCTACTCGGTTACCGGACCAATATCTAGCCACCCGAGAGAACCGGGATGTCGCAGATTCCGAGACCCAGGGGCCCGGGGGGGGGGGGGGGGGGGGGGAGGGGTCGCGATCTGTTCCTCAGCCAGGGCTGTCTATTCCTAGAGAGGATCAACCTACCTACATTCCCCGGATCCCATCTTCCTGCATACCCTAGTGTTGCAATCCACAGCCTGATCTGCCAGCAAGCTGGAGGGAGGATCACACAGACTAGACACCAAAATGTAACGCGCCTGTCCCGATTCTATTAGCTGCAGACTTGGCAGAGACATGCAGATGGCGACGCCTGGACAATACCGTAGCTTTTACGCCCGTCAGCCATAATTGTGTACTTGTAAGACCCCACAGGGACTGTCTTGGCTACGTATCCCAGTCATCCACACACATGCAAAACGCAGTGCAATGGCAAATGCCACGCTCGGGTAAGGACGCCATACACCATGGCTACTAAGCCTTGGCCGATCTCCTGTGCAATTATCAAAGGTAAGGCGTACCTTCCATCTTGTATTGCGGCCCAGTAGGGCTGAAAAAGTTCCATTTCGGTGTGCAATGTGATTGCCAAGCGCCGTATACCTCAGAATGATAAATGTCCTGGGGACATTAGTAGCGGCTGTTGGCTGTTCGCATTGGGGGCTAACAGATACGCGTGGAAAACAGCATAAAGTGAGTCAAACGATAGCTCTAGTCTAGCCTTTGAGTGCCTCATCCGACATACGTCAACCGGTTCATGTCTTGACTTTCGGCCACAACGCCGAAGAAGGCCAGCAGCCTGACAGAGAGGCCAGGCCCAACCCATTGTGAAGGACAATCTAACTGGGAACATTGGCGCGGTGTACCCGTCTCCATTCCACAATAGGTGCCCCGTTCAATTGGGGGTTGCCAAGTCCATGTCCTGAACCTAAGCTAGCCGCGAAAGCCGTACCGGCTGGCGCGCGCCGCATGTCTCAGTCCGTCTTTTTACAACCCCTGTTACAGGAAGGCTTTAGCTGGACCACCCTTTTTCTTTCCTCTCAGAGCCTTCTTTGGCGTACGTCTAGCCCGTCATGTATCAACGTCCCGAGCACGTGGAACCGGTAATCCCTCCCCAGGAGTCCCCTGTTCTCTTTCCGATCGGGAATGGAGGCTGGATGAGACATTACGATGTTGAGTCGCCATCAGGGATTGGAAACAACTCAAATGACATTCCTCGGGACCGGAACACAATCCCTTCCCGTTAGACCAACCCTCTTCTAGCGTTGCTATCTTGAGATACCTCCAACTTGTACTTGATGCGCACACCTCCCACGCCCTCCCAGGGAAGAAAAGCAATGTTATCGAATTAGAGTTGAGTCCACTTAGTAGGCTACGCTACTCAGCTGAATCAGCGGCTAGGTTCCGACACACACCCCCTCCTCCCGACCATCAACATGCATCGCTGCTGGTACTATGCCTATCCTGACGCGACGCGTCTGCACTAGACCAGGTACGAGGCACGGCTGCGAGCCCGAGGCAAGCAGAAGCGAGGTAGGCGGCCAAGACATGTCGATGATCAAGGGGCAGATCTTCCCGGATTTGTGGTAGAGGACGCACGGTGCGATCGCAGAGCTTGGCCAGGGCCAGGCCCGTCGTCTCCGAGCCCTGCTTCTCGATGGCGTCTATCCATGGCGTATTCCGACCCTATCAGATTGTGAGCTAGTGATGCCAGCCCGCGGCCTTCTCGCACATCTCATGTCCGTTAAACCCGCCGAGCCACGCGAGGCAAACTTGCAGATACGAAGAAAAACCAAAACTTTCGTAAAGGCAAAGCCCCCCCCCTCCTCCCCCGATCAAAGGGCTTGCTCTAGCTGGCTTGGCTGAGATACTGAACCTGCGCAAGGAAAGGCTGAAGATAACGAGGTATCCCGTGCAAGACCAGGCAAAAGGAGGTTTTGTCACTTCTCGTAATCTCACTTTCTGGGGGGTTTGGCTTCATCTTTATTTCATTCTTTTTCAACTTTCCCACGCGAGGCCGCGAGAGAGCCATCCGTCGTCGAGACCTTCTTCCCCAGTTCTTGGGGTCCAGGGCTAGAAGTAGCTGAAGCCCAGCGCGGCGCCGCCACGGTATTAGGTCTCTGAGCAAAATTTGACAACGACATTGCAGGTGTCTCTCGAACACCGTCGGCAAGATAACGCTTTATTTTTCGCTACCATGTCGAGACTGTTATTGGGCAGACTGGAACTAAGGGAAAACACTTGGTCCTCCAAAGGGGCGGCAGCACTTGAGGACACTCATTTGTAAGAAAATGACGCAAATCTCAACTCGTTGTGCCATCCCTGACTCGCATGTGATGACAAGGGAGGGCGAGCAAGGCACCTAGCTCTACTATGATGCTCCAACGTCGTGGACGGATAAGGGAGCGTAGGAGTAGCAGCGCCCAGTGGCAACTGACGACATCCTGACAATAGTTTGGCACTTAAACATGGGCTTGTTCCATACGCGGAGTATTGTGCATGGCGGCGGCTCTTGCCCAGTCCTATTCCATTAATCAGGCCTCGCAACTGGCATGATGACGCCTCAAACCGCCAGCGAATCGGCCGTTACTTTGAAAGACACTCGAACAAACATGTTTTACCTGTAGTGTTCCTGCATAAAGTGTTATTGTTGCAGAGTAGTTCTTCCGTAGCTCGTGCATGTACTCTCGCCGTGGGGTCCTATGGCTAGATAGGATAGGATAGGCCGGATCTCGCCACCCAGAAGTCCACATTCAGACACGGCCATGGGAGGCAGATGGAAGAAATTGGCAGTGAATGGGGGGCGATTGCCACAGTCTTCCACATTGCGTACGTGCGTAACCGAAGGCCTGTAAAAATGAAACTGTAGAAGAAGACGTCCACGGTCAAGGCGTAGATGCGGATTCTCATAACAGGGAAATCTCCCGCTTATTTTATCACAAATTAAGCCCCGATGGATTCCTGCCAATCGCCATTCCTCAATCCCGCCGGGGTATCCCATCCCTCACCCCTCCCCCCGGGGAGCGGAACGGTAGTCGGCCCCGCAGTCTCCGGCAGTCTCTACCGAGGACAAATATATCCTCGAATCCCGTGGGTTCAAAGCCGTGCTCGGGAGGGAGTCCTAAGATACCAAGTGATGCCGGTATCTACTGCTCGGTCCGTTGCTGTGTATCGTGGATCACATCGACGTCATCAGAGTAGCAATAGAAGGTAGTGTAGTAGTGTGCTCATACCATTCGATAGAATTTCTCTTAGAGAAACCACAGAAAGGTGAAGAAGTATCATGATAATTTTTTGAGGTTCCTGAATCGCTCTTTTTTTCATATTGATAATCAATTATGAAAGAGGCCGGTAACATGGTCAAACTCCATCAGTAAGGTTCCATGGACCTTCACCACAAGCCCACACCTTACACTGGACCCCGGTCCTCAATCCCATAGCCGGGCTCTCCTGATTCGTGGTTCTCCAAACTCCCGGCCGCCATCCCATCTCGTCGGAGAATCACGATCACGCCTCGGGAGCCGCCAATGGAGACCCGGCGCCCACGGCTTAGCTCGACGCCGCCTCGGAAGATGATGTCGAGCCAGGGTGTGATCCTTCGGTTTCCTAGCCAAAAAGTTGCCCCCTTGCTCGCGTCAAACTTCTGGCAGGGGGAGACTCTCGTGACCTGTCCCCTTTTCTAAACGGTCATGAATGGAGGAAGCTCACAGAGCCGGCGGGTTGGAGGGATCGTCTCGTCCGAGCTTGCCGGCATCCCCACGCCGATAGCTGGCTCGCAACGACAGCAAGCTTTCCTGACGTGCCAAAGGCGCCCCCTCCATTGCGGACGACTGGATGAGCGATGGAGAAATATTGAAAGATGAGCCAGACCCAGCTCAATCTGGACGTTCAATATCCTCCCGGCCGCTACATGTCGAGTCGTGTATAAAGCCGAGTCCCTCTGCTTCGAGCTTGATTCCGTAACCGTACAAGCCGTCCGTCTTATCCCGGCCCGTCAAGCCAAACTCGTTCATCGCAGCCCCCCCGGTCTCTATCCCGTCCACTATGAAGCTGTCCGCCATCCTCGCCGCCCTCCCCGCGCTAGCCCTCGCCTCCCCGACGCCGACGGTCGAGAAGCGCGCCACCACGTTCTGCGACCAGTGGGGCTCCGCCGTCACCGGCACCTACACCGTCTACAACAACCTCTGGGGGGCGTCCTCCGGCACGGGCAGCCAGTGCACGACCTTGAGCGGCCTCTCGGGGGGCAACCTGCAGTGGTCGACCACCTGGTCCTGGTCTGGCGGCCCGTACAGCGTCAAGTCGTACGCCAACGCCGTCGTCAACGTCAGCAAGAAGGCCCTGAGCGCCATCAACAGCATCCCCTCGACCTGGAACTGGAGGTCCGTTTCTCGATCTCTCTCTCTCTCTCTCTCTCTCTCGTCTCTTGTAGTGGTGGCACTAACACATCCCCTCCAGTTACTCCGGCAACGGTCTCGTCGCCAACGTCGCCTACGACCTCTTTACCTCCTCCACGGCCTCCGGGTCCGCCCAGTACGAGATCATGATCTGGCTCGGCGCCCTCGGCGGAGCGGGCCCCATCAGCGCCACCGGCAGCCCCGTCGCGCGGCCCACCGTCGCCGGCCGCGCCTGGAACCTCTACAAGGGCACCAACGGCCAGATGACCGTCTTCAGCTTCGTCGCCCCCAGCAACGTCCAGAGCTTCAGCGGCGACCTCGAGGCCTTCGTCACCTACCTCGTCGGCAGCCAGGGCCTGCCCGCGTCGCAGATCCTCCAGAGCATCGGCGCCGGCACTGAGCCCTTCGTCGGCTCCAACGCAAAGTTCACCACGACCGCGTACAGTGCCTCGCTTTCCTGAGTCAGCAAACACCTTCCATGTTCTAGATGGAGATGACGCCTTTGATTCTTGTTTTTTATCTTTCTCAATTTATTCCTTTGTTTCGAGTGTATGCGTTTCTGGGCGCAGCTGTCAAAATGACCAAGACAGACGTGCAGGACATGGGGCGATGTCTCAAAAGCAGCACCCTCCCCCCTTTTCACTTGGCCTGTCCATGATTGATTCAAAAACGAGTATATATCACAAATGACCAAATATTAGGTCGGTTTGACCGTAGGATGCAGACGGCACGCAGATTCGTTAAAGACAAGAAAGTGCGTGATAATAGAATGATCTACCGCCAATAACTTGGCGCTCGATAGTGTGCCATGCTCTGCTGGGCGGAAACCTCAAGCCTCCCAGTCCAGAAGAAATGACGCGGCCTCGTGGGCTCTGCCATGCCCTCAACGGCCGCCCCTCTGGCGGCCTCGCAGCCCGCCCTGGTCTCGGCGCGGAATCTCTTGACCGCCTCCAGAACGTCCCGCATTCCATGGAGTTCCGTCCTTCTAGGCGGTCTCAACTCCGGCGGCATGACGATGGCGTCCCACGCTGCGTGGAAGAGGAGCGCTCCCGCCGGGACGCCAGCCCTGACGTGCGCCAGGGACGCAGGCCCGACTCGGCTCCTCAGCGGCGGGTGCATCACGAGCCTCGTGTACTCATTGACGGCGGGACTGGTACTTGGGACACCTGAGCCGACCCATACCTTGCGGTCGATCTGCTGCTGTCCCCAAGTGTCACCGTAGCTCATGTACTCACCGTCCATATCGCCGCAAAGAGAGCCTGCTAAGCGGCTGGTAGTGACTTTATGCGGCCCCGCAGGATGACCGCCACTTTCTGTTGCTTTCTTTTTCGTGGCCGTCTCAGCAGACGTGCGAGGCTGGGGTCGCTCGCCTGCAAAGAAGCTGAAGCCCTCACCTTCATCCAGTTTCAAGAGCTCTTGGGCGTCGAGGTCTTCCACGGTTGAGAAGCCGGTGGGGTCCTCGATCGGGTCGGCTTCAAATTCCAGGCGAATATGACGCAGGCCGCGGAGCGGTACAGGACCCCGTCGAGAAGACGAGTGAGTCATTGCGTGTATCGCATACTCTTGTAGGCCCGCCAGGCTCATGAAATGCAAAATCTTGTCGATCAAAGGCCCACTAGAGCGACGGGGGATATTGGTCAAAGTCAACGATGTCAGTCGAGGGTTTGTGTCCGGCTCGAAAGCTGCGGGGAAAGCCATCTCGGATCGTTCCCTGATGCTTGTCTCAGCTAACCACAGGCGCGCCATGGTCGACAGGCCATCAGTCTCAAGTGTCGGTATTTGAGTTACCAGTGAATGGTGAATGCGCAGAACCCTTAGATTAGACGAAAGAACCGGACGGAAGACATAGGCGCAGCCCAGGGCGCCGCGCAGCTTCATATCACTAGGCCACGGGAGGTGCTGCTGAGCGGCAGAACGGTGGACCGGCTGAAACAGCAGAGAATCGCAAGACAGCTCTTCTAGTTGGCCCTGAGAGGTTCGTATCAACCTCTCCAAGCCCGATGAAGTAAGGCCGCGATTGTCTGAGAGGTGCAGATGCGTGATCCCCACAGGTGCAGTGCAGACGTCGAGATACGGCATGTCGGACCAGTCAGGCGCCGGTTGATCCATGCCCCCCGCAATTGCGGCCTTAACGTAGTCCACGCTGTCTCTCCGCAGAGGCGTCCGGCCATTGGTCCGGACTGCTTCGTCCTCTTGCAGAACCCGATTTGCATCGGCACGATAGGCGGGAGCATCGACGAAGTGACGCTCCGGATGACTAAAGGTACCGCTCCAGTCAGATTCCTGGATGGACATGAACTGGCCGTAGGTGCCGTTGCCATGGCCATCAAAGACAAGCCTGCCCTCGGTCGCGAATCGGGACTGAGACCTCAAAGACGGACTATTGAAGCAGTGCGTGACAAACCGATCGAGAGCGCTGTCCGTAATGTTGTTTTCGGCAATATCCAGACTCCACAGCGAGCTCTTGAAAGCTTCGAACAGGGACAAAGCCGTTGCGTCGTTGAGCTCTCGACGCCTCGCTTTGAGGATCTTTAGGCGGCCGAGGTTCCGCCGTCCGTTGACCGCTGCTACAAGCGGCTGCAGGGAGCCAGGCAGGCCGGAGACATCGAGATATACCAGGTGCTGGACCCTATCCGAGTAGAAGAAGCCGTTAGGTAGCTGAGTCTGACAGTGAGCGAGGCTCAGCGCCAGCACGCCATGGCTGCTGCCAGAGGGTGTAGTTGGGTCGGGTGGCGGGGTGGCAGCTAGAAAGGCGGGATCTGCGTCGACATGGCCGTCCAAGAGAATGCATCTTAGATTCGGTAATATCCCGGGCAATCTGCGCAGAGTCTCGGGGATTGTTCTGGGGCTATTGTCGGACGAGAAATGAGCATTGTCTTTGGCGAAGTCACGGAAGTCGAGAGTGGTGATCAGCGCCAGGGTCGACTGCCGCACAAGCTGCATGTGATCAAAGACAAAGGAGAGGTACCACTCCAAGTCTTGGTGTAGCAAAACAGGAGCCGTGGGTCAGCGATGGCGTACGGGTAAGACTTGAGACATACGTACCGTCGCTGGGATGCAATCCCAGACGTCGTACGGCGACCAACGGGTCGTTCCAGAGGCGGGGTGCGAAGAGAAGGTAGAAGCGTCTATTCACTGAACAAAGGCTGGCGAGGTCCTTGTCCGCGACGTATGACGTGACTAGTTGGAGCCAGTCGAGTCTGCTAACAGCATCTTGATAGGATGGCAAAGCGGCCATGCTTGCGACGGATGTCTTTTTTTGTTTGCTCCCTTGGTTTGAATTGCCTATAGACCCTAGGCCCGAATCATTTATTCACAGGCGATGAAACAGTTTGTCGTCGTTTCTGGCGAGACGGAAGATCTGTCTCACGGCCAGAAACAGGGTGGGCAAACAGACGGTGGTACGTTTGTTCCCAGAATACCTACAGCACGCACGCACGCCAGTTGGGCTCGCAAGCTGAGGTATCGGTGAGGGCAGAGCGACATGGACGATGTAATCTAGAGACCAGAGACAGCAGACTGGAAAGGTATGCGTGGCGTCGGCAAGGTTGAGGGGAACAAGATCAAGTGGCGTAATTGACGACGAGAGAAATGAGCATGATGCACAGGTGCGTGCCGGTAGACAATAGAGCGCGATCTGGGTCGAACAATGTCCGAGGTTGTGATGAAGCGGATACCAACCAGCGACGCGCAAAGACGATGCAAGAATGAAACAGAGACGAGGGCGATTGAGGGCTGATTGCGCGACAATTCCAATAACAGCCAAGAATGAATGGCTTCTGGAAGATGCATGTGTCCAACAATTCAACGCCCAATCATTTTCGAGCGGCGGGAGAGAATCAGAGGCAAAGCAGCGCCCGCCCAATGAGAGCGAGGGACAACGACAGTGACAGACAGTGACGGGTGCCAATTTTGTCTCTCTGTTTGTCTCCCTCTCTCTCTCTCTCTCTCTTTCTGTGAGTGTGTATGTGTGTGTGTGTGTGTGTATGTGTGTGTCTCTCTCTCCCCAACTGTCGATTGATGGAATTGATTGTCTGCCTGAAATCACAGGCAAAACAACCTTGGCGAGAGGAGAGAGGAGAGAGAGAGAGAGAGAGGGGTGGATATTACCTAAGCATCTGTCCATGATGGGTACGTACACCCGAGTACCTAGGTACCTGCCCAACTAAAGGTAGGTACCCTTCTCGAGGGACGTATCCGGATACGTACCTTCCTACACCTACATCGTACTAAGTAAGTACTCCCGTTATGCCGCCCTACTAAGAAACGGAATGCCACCTTGCAAGCCCGCTCGTCCGGCTACCGGTGGACGCGAGTAAATCTCCTTGGCTAACCAGTCCTCACATTCCCGAGGTAGCGAGGCAGGTATTAAGTTCGATAGCGTCGTTGGAGGGTTTTATGACGCACCACACGAAAAAATGCGGAGCGCCCGAAAAGTCCAAATATTTGTAAAGAAACGATAAAAAAAAATCAAATCGGCGGTGGCATGGATACCTATGCTTGCTTGCTGGTCCAGCCAAGTCGACGCTAACCGTCCGGAGCAGGGCCCCCCGGGATCACCCGCCGGCTCCGCCCGGAGCCTGCTTTAGACCAGACCCATTTCATATCCCGGCCGCGGGGGCTCGTGACCGGCCGTCAACCCGGCTTCTCGCCCCGCAACGACGCACGGTGCACGGAACGCCCTTCCTCCCCTTCCGCCCCCCTGCCCGCCACACTGTACAGATATCGCGCGCCCATCTACGGAATATCCCTAGTTTAATTCTGCTGTCCATTGTAACTGTACTCCGTAGAATCCTTCTCCCCCCCCCCCCCTCTAATCGAATCATATTACCCTTTGGTCACTACGTTAAACATCCCTCGGATACTGTTGCTCACGGACGCTACCGGCGGCGGTTCCTTCTGAACATCAAGCTTGCTTGCCTTTCCAACTTGGCGCGGCGCACACCCATACCCTTGCCGTGGTCTTCGACCTTGACAAGATTCTTAACGCACGGTTCTCGCCGGCCAGGGTGTGTGTTTCCACGTGGTCTCTTGCCCGAGATGAGCTGCCGACTTTGTGCCAAAGTTACGTCGGTCGAGACCGCCGGCGACGGCATCATCTTCTTTCCTACCCGTGCTCCTCGGAAATACCGCCCCCCCCCCCCCCCTCCTCGTGCATCGTGTCAAGTTAGGCTATCGGCGAATGCGCTGTGAAGTTGGGTAGCTGCAGCATGCCTCCTCCGCCGCCCGTATCCGATCGGCTAGCTGCATTGCATGCCCTCTCTTCTCCCCTCCACCAAACCTGACAAAACATGCCTGCTTGTCCTGCATGCTGCGGCTTGCTCGCTTTCTTGCTTCCCTGCAGCGGAAACATGTACCAGGTTTGTCTTCGGTAGCGTGCCTCCCCAGGGGAAGATTAAGATCCGAGAATTTCCCTCAGGAGGAGAGAACTTCCCCTTCCCACCCGCCGTCGTCCCAGGAGTACGGTCACGGTCCTCCACCCGACAGGGTCTTTCGCGCAAGATGCTCCGAAATTCGTCCAATAAACGTGGCCCCCTTGCTGCGATACCACCTTGCCGCTGGGCCTGATCCCAGTTGCGCATCAGCCGACGACTCTTCAGAGGCAGGCGTCCAACACGGGAAATTGATGAAAAAACTATGTGTCGTGCGAGATTTGCATCTCCAGTCAGGGTGTCAAGGTCAAGGTCAAGGCCAAGGTCAAGGTCAAGGTCAAGGTCAAGGTCAAGGTCAAGGTCAAGGTCAAGGTCAAGGTCAAGCCCAGGTGAAGCCCAAGTCAACCCAAGGTCAGGGTCAGGCGGATATCGTCAACCAGACGAACCTTACGTCCGTAACGCTCCCAGCGCTAGGGTCCGACTCCCTGGCCTTTGCCTCTTTCCTCTCTCTTCCTCCTCCCCCCTCTTATCTTTTTTCCTTTTTTTTTATTCCCTTTCCTATCACTGCTGCTGTCGTCTTTCATGTCATGCAGGCGCCTTCGACCTGTCTCTCTTTGAGTTGCCAATCAAACCCAAGCAAAACTGTAGCAATCGCTGAAACCCCCCAAAAAGTAAATCAATGCTCTAATCTTCGGTCACACGGCATCTGGCTGTGCGCCGTTGCTGGCCACCACAAACGGGTCGAAGCAAGCCATACAGAGAGGGTTCGCTCTCGCCCTGTCCTGCCCGCTCCTCGCCGGTGGCCGAGCAACCAAGCAGCAGTCAAGCAACCGTGCCTGTCTGCTCCCATCCCTGTTGTTTCTTCAAGGTGGTGGTCCCTCTCTGGTTACGATCGTGAGGCAAAGTCGGAAGGTTCCTTTCTAAACATCCCTCTCTCTCCCTCTCTCTCTCTCTCTCCCTCTCCCCCCTGCACCTGACCCCAGACTCCCTGCCATGCCATCATCACTGATCAGACCTGTCAAAAATCCTTCGCCCCTAGGTTCCACGGTTGTCGCCCCTGCCACGCAGCCACCCTCACGTCCGTTCATCTCCATCCACCAATATCCCCTGTCCGTACAGAGAGTTTCCCCCCCAGCTCAAACCACCTACAGGGCAAGCCTTCTCATCAGGGGGAAGGAAACGAAGCAAGAAACGAAATATGGCCCCCCCGAACGGCCTGGTCCGCACGCGCCGTTTCCTCTCACCCCAGCCTATCCCCCAGCGCCCTGCTGCCTATATTGCACCACCGGTTGATGTCCATCGTACCACCGACTCGTCCTCGGTATTGGGCCCGCGCCACGCGCACACGAAGGGGGCATCGACTCAAGACCCCTGCTCGGATGCTCTGCCGTCTAGGCATCTTTTTTTACGTGTACGCGCGCGCGGTAGTAGTAGTTGGGGTTTCGGACGCCTTTCCGTCCCGCCCCGGCTCGCCATGCATTGCGCGCGCCCATGTGGGGGGGGGGGGGGGGGGGGGGGGGGTTTAAGCTGATCAGCCTCACATCCCGATGAGGGCATACCTAGCACAAGAGCGCACTCACTCCAGCTGAGCCTCGGCGAGTCAGCCGCCTGCGCCGATTGTCGGTAGCATGTACTCCGTAAATTGTACGGATACTGCCCCCTGTTGGTATTTTCACGGCACGGCTCACCAGCCACCACCGCCACATTTCCGCCACCAGCCACGTGATATCCATCCGCCAAAACCCCATGCTGTCGATAACCCATGTACAAAACGCTGTTTTCGCAGCAAATCCATCATGACCAATTAACATCACGGGCAGTATGGGCAGTGTCAGTTCGGGCCGTAAATTAGCACGTGATACTTTAATTATTAAATGCTGGCGACATGGCTGATTTACCTCCAACCGCTCGAATCCGACGTCGTTTTACCACTTTTACGCAACTATTATGGGTCCGCCATGAGTCCAATCATGTGATTGGCTGACTAAGTCGGAATGCTGCTGTGGGCGATTTTGTGAAGAGGCTGACATAACGACTTAGTCAGAGGGCGGGCCGTGAAAATACCAAAAGGGGGGCGCCGTACAATTACACTACTCCGTACACTGAAAACCTACCTGCTACCCGATTGTCCGAGGCGTCTGACACCGCCAAGGCCCACGATGCCACCCAAGAAACGTCGGTACCCTACCGCCAGAGCTTATTGCGACTCTCATCGCCCATCGACTAATAAGATTGCCGCATGTCACATGCTGGGCCAGGAACATCCTCTCTTTGCCTGGATAATCTGCGTAGAGGCAGCGGGAGTGAGATGGAAAGTAGTATTCTCCAAACGCATTTTCCGTGTCGGCACACGTGGAAGAGATGTGATGCGACGCAAGGCTCTCGAGGACTCTTTGGGAGGAACTTTCTTTGTATAAACGGTAAAAACCTCTTGACCATCTCGGTGGTTGAGGGCTCTGCTTTGGTTTTTTTTTTTTTGCTCTTTTGGATTCTGGTAACTTTGCTTCTCCCACACCCAAGACAAGGGGAGGAGGGACAATGGCAGTAACAATCTATCTTATCCCAGTACGATCTTCTTCTCGTCTTCTGACAAGGCTATTCGGTACAAACAACTAGGCCCTGACCCACGCCACACCCCTCGTTTTCGCCGTTGATCCTCGAACGGGTGGCCTCTCCTCGTTTTGCCGTTCTCAGCAGCGCCCCCCACCCGCTTGGTATCCCCTCCTCCTCCTCCTCCTCCTCCTCCACCGCGGTCGCAACATCCTCATTCATATTTTGACTTTCAATCGTTAAGAATATGTAAATCTTGGTTTGTTTTGTGTGTGCGATTGTATGCGTGTTCTTCTTCTCCTTCTTCTTCCGCAGGCAATCGTAAATAATGTGAGTAAATAGTTGAACACAGAGGACCACAAAAAGGTCGCCACCGCCTTGACGTTTGGAGCGTTTCTCTTCAGTAACAAAAGAACCAGCTGCCTCCCAAAAGAATCGAATAAAAGACAAGATGGTGGGAAACAAAAAAAAAGAAAAAGGTACTAAAAGAAAAATAATGCAAACAGTTTGCCGGTGGGACGCCCAATTGTCCATCTTTTTTTGTTTCGTGCAACATAGGGAATTATTACAGGTTTGGTGTTGGTGTTGGGGGGAATCATTTTCGAAGCTTGGGGGTATGTTTTTGTTTTCCTCCCCTTCTTTTCCTTCGCCGCTTTCTACCGGGGTATCTTTGGTAACCCGGACAGGGATTCGAGGGCTTGGGGAAGACACCCGGAGCAGGGATCGTCCAAGTCGTCGCCCATGCAAAGTGGCGCGCGTGCGCGTTGGAAGTTGTCTTGGAAAACGCACTGAGGGGAGAGAGAGAGATGGCGGCTTTTCTGTCCGGGGTCAGGGTTCAAACTTGGCATCGTATCACCCCTCTCTCTTTCTCGGCCGTTAACCCAAGAGCTGTGCTGCGTCTGGCCTTGATGTGCCCACCCCCCTTCCCCCCCCCCCCCGGGCTTTTCTATTCTTCGGGTCTCAGACAACCAGCAGACGCAGGACGCTGCAGCAGGACGCTTTAGTTCTTGTTGCTGGTGCTACTGCTAGGGCTCGAGCTGGTGCTCGTCTTGACGCGCTTGCGACTCTTGCTCTGGAGGCACATCTCGTCGTACAGCTTGGCAGCCTTGTCGTTGTAGGGAGTCCTGCTACTCTTGCCCTGCTTGTGGAGGAGCAGGTGAGAGACGAAGTTGTCGCGGCGCTCCTTAAAAACGTGGTTGCAGTTCGTGGCGGGGCACGTGTACAGCTCAACCTCCTTTTCGTGGGTTCTGCATGGCGGTGTCAGAATACGTGCCACGTCAAACGATGGATAACTTTTTCTGGACGGATAAACTTACGCTTTGAAGTGGCGCTTGAGGTGCTCCTTCCTCTTGAACGTCTTGGTGCAGTCGGGATATGTGCATCTCTCCCGCCTCGGCGCGACGTGGCGCACCTTGACCGAGCCGCAGTCGAGGACGGACCCATCCTGGTTGACCTGGATCGACCGGAGCTGCCTCAGGGCCTCCATGTCGTTCTGGTTCTTCTGGAGGGCCAGGGTCTTGCGCTGGACCTCGGCAAAGAGCTTGCGTCTAGAGTCCTGGCGGTACGCGCCGGCCGACGGCGGCGACTGCAGGGGCGAGGGCGAGTGTGTGGTCTCACGCTTGACGCTGGCAGTGATAGAATGGAGAGGGGATGTCGAGGGTGTGGACTCGTTGCCGAACATCATGATGGGGCTTTCGCTGCTGCAGGACCAGATGTGTGCATTGCTGGGGGTGGAGCTGGTGAGGGCGCGGTGAGGTGTAGGCATCACAAAGGGTGATGAGCTGAGGTCTTGGGGAAGCGAATATTGCTCGGCGTGGTGGTGGTGTTGGTGGTGCTGGTGATGAGCATGCTGCTGATGCTGAAGCTGTTGCTGGTGGTGATGAGGCGGGGACATGCCGGGCATGCAGTGGGAGTTGATGGCGACATGAAGCATCGTGTTGTAATCTAGGTGCTCCATGCCATACCCCGAGCTCTGTCTCCTCGACGGCGTGAGGGGGACGGCCGAGGCATACTGCATGGGCATCTGGATCTCGGCCTTGTCATGCCTGAGGAAGTAACCCTTGGGCTCTTGTGGTGCGGCATGTTCGAAGGTGAAGGAGCTCTGGGAGGAGAAGGAGGACTCGAAGTCAAGACTGGAGTGGTGGTCATGAGGTGTCGACCGGCCTGAGCGAGGAGTGTATGGGTCGTTGGGGTCGTAGGTGGACGAGGCGGCCGAGAAGCTTGGTGTTGTGGTTCCGCAACTGACGGAGCCGTCATAGTGAAAGCTGGTTTCCGGAGCAAAGGCGTCCATGATGCTTTCAATGGAGTGGTCCTGCTCCTGTTGCCAGAGGTGCTGGTGGGACATCATTGTGGGCGTTGTTGATTGTTGTTGCTGACTCGCTGTTGAGAGGGCGTGGTCGTCTAAAGAGGGAGCGAGTTGTCCGGTTAAAAGTAGGATGAAGAATGATGGGATAATGGGAGCGTTCCACAGATGAGCAGCTCAGGCAGTATTATATCGTGGACGGCGTGGGACGGAGTGGGACGGAGATGAAGATGACGCCCCTAACGAGCGATGGACAAGTCTATCCTGACAGAACGGGGAAATAGTGTCATCAATACACCAGCTGGAGAGACAGAGAGCCCCAGATAGGAATGTATCGAGGTCTGAGTACGTGATAGTGGAGGTGGAGTGGATTGTGGGAGGGAGAGTGAGAGAGAGAGAGAGAGAGCCGCGAGAGGGGAGTGGGGTGAGGAGGGTGGGTGTGTGACTTGGAAAGAATGGGCGCGGAGGGAGGCAGAGAGGCTCTAATCTCTTGTGGGATCCACCGATCTATGAGAGAAGACGACGACAGGGAACTGGTGAGAGGAAGAGGGTCCAGAACAAGAGAGAGTGTGTGTTTCTTGGCTGCGGGAGGGTTCCAGTCCAGTCCGGTCCAGTCTGTTTCTCTGTCCCTGAGAAACAATGAGACGATCGCCGGTCCATGAACGCGAGCCACTCACATATAGGTGTCAGATCAAAGGATAAGCTGAACCAGGTACGGTCCTACGGGCGGCTTTAGCGGAGGATCTGAACGCTCAAGCCAACTCCTCTCGGTCTCTCTCTTTCCCTCTCTCTCTCTCTCTCTCTCTCGCTCCTTTTGCTTTCTCTTGCTCTCTCTCTCTCTCTCTCGCTTGTTTGAACTAGGATCTTTTGCGAGAAAGGAGCCCTTGCGGGCCCTCGCTCATAGCCATGCTGGGCATGCAGAGGGTCTTTGGTTGACAAAACCATAATCCGAATCTGGATCACCAGGCCGGGTTCACGTTTGTGCTGATGGAGGCTGGATGACGACCCCGGCAGCCATTCGTCAAGCCCAGACAGAGGCGTCCAGTGCTACCTACTCTATCTTGTGTTTTGCACCATGGCTTGAGCTCTACCCTTGTCGGGCAGGGGTAGGGGAGTCGTGCTGGTCGAGTCGACTTCCGACAGGGGTTAAGCACGGCTCACGACGGCCAAGGGGACTGGGATTAGCCAGGCACCTGGAAGCTCGCAGAGCTGGGGACCTCGAAGAAGAAAGAGTACCTGCATGAACCATTTGGGGGCCTACCGTGGATCGCGAGTTGGTGAGGTGCGAGGGCGACGTACGACAAGGGGTTGGGGGCATGCGTGCACTCGGGAGCTGTCCTCTATCAGTCTTCATCGGCCAAAAGTGGCCGTCCGAGGCAAGCGAGACAAGCAGTAAACTTTTTCCTAGCGGGCCCGACAGAAGCAGGGAGGCCGGGGGGGGGGGGCTCCATCTTCGAATGTAGGAGCTCGGCGCGTCGCCGCTGGTGGGGAAGGCTTAGCAAGTGACATGGGAGCTTGAAGACAACTACAATGGTGGAAGTGGTGGTGGTGGTGGTGGTGGGGTTCGGAAACAGACGAGAAAGACGTTCACGAGGGCAACGAGATAGTGAGAGAAAAAGAGCGAGTATGTACGCGTGTATAGAGGAACCCAGGCCGACCTGGCTGATACGACTGTCTCTCTGCGTCTGTTGGGCGAATCTGTATGAATGTGTGTAACACTGGGGAATGGAGACACGCCCGTCATGGAATGGAAGACTGATAGGCTTGATACGTGCGATGTGAGACATCAGGCACAGGCCCTTGAGCCATTCTACTGAGCAGCAACAATCGGCTTGCTTCCTAGGGAACCCACCTCAAGTCGTGGATGGGATGATGCACTTGAGACACAGTGCAGCAAGTGAGGAAAAGCAAAAACGAAGGAAAAAAACATGCTGCAGCAGTCCGCGGTCAAGTCCGTCTACCCTCCCACTGCCGACACGGTGAGCTGGAATAATGTCCAACTGACGTAGCCAAGGCATGCATAGCTCACTCACTTGGAGGAGTGCGCATGGCTAGCGGCTCGAATCTCGTTATCCCCTCGAGTCGAGCGTGCGAGAAAAAAAGAGGCGCTGAAACAGGGATGATAGGTATGATGCGGATGCAGATGAGTGATGTGCAAAAAGCAAAGGTTGAGCAGCTCTGAATGAGGTGGACTCGGATCCAGCTGGAAACCAGAACTGCGAGAAGACCAAAAGAGCAAGATGAGCCGGAATGTGTGCGAGAGTAGGTGAGAGTAAGTGAGAGTGGGTGAGAGTGAGTGAGAGCGAAAAGCCTCAGGTGTGTCATTGACCGACCACAGGGTGAAAACGGTAGAGAGGGAGAAAGGGGAGCAGAACGACGGAACGATGCAACCAAGACGCTGGTCATTGTAGGATTCATACGATGTGATGAGCTGAGAAGACAAGAGGCAAGGTAACCGGGCTGGCACAGACAATTAGGTAGTAAACAAGAAGAATCAACTGGCAAAAGAGCAAGAGTCAATGAAGGGGGAAACAGTCAGCATCCTGGCAACCTGGGAAATGGTGACTAACTAGGGTCGATCAATGGGCAGAATCCCGCTCGCTCGTTATGCTTGCCGTTGATCCGCTCCCTCATTGGTTTCCAACTCATACGTCTGTCCGTGCCTCTTCATGGGGAAGCCCTTTTATTTTTTTATTTTTTTTCATGTTCTATTTTCAGGGGGGGGAGGGGTGGGCAGCTTAGGTCATCCAACTCTTCACTCAACTCACACACTCCTCATACACTCATACCATTCATACACACACACTCACACACCCCTCCATTCAGACCCTCGACACAATCTGAAATGACCCCGGCAGCCCATCTCAAAGTACAGTACCTACCTCACGGGCAAGGGGGTCTAAAAAAGTATGTCTTGAAAGGAAAAGCGGGGAAGAGGTTCAGACGCCATTGCCATCGAGGCCCATCAGTACCGTGCTTGGAATCTCTTGGTTCTCTCGACACACACACACTCTCACTCACTCACTCACTCACTCCCCTTCCATCATTGCCAAGGGCGCATCAGTCCACACACACCCCTTCCTTTCTCCATCACTGAAGCCATGTCTGGTGCTACGAAAGGTACTTTGATCAGAGCCCATGTCGACCGTCACTCTCATGTTGCCCAAGTCCGACAGCCTGTTGGGGGCGGGCGTCCCCAGAAACCGCCGTGGGTACGTGGTTTTTCTTGACGCCGCCTCGAACGCTTCTGAGAAAGGGTTGCATCTTCTCCGACTGCTGGGAAGAGCTACGTCCCACCCGCATTCCAGATTCGACTTCCGGTGCTTAGGGAGGCCTAGCTTGCGTCCCTCCTCTGGCTCCGTGAGCTCCGGGGGGGGGGGGGGGGGAGGGGGGGGTTGATGCCAACCAATATTGGCGAGATATCCGTGGAAAACAGGGTGGTTTATAGCCTCCAACTTGGCAGACGAGAGAAAGACTGGCCATCTTTGCATCATGCAATCCAGCGCCACCGGAAACCCGTTTCTATCACATCCGCCCGCCACTTGGCGCGCCTATCCATCCGGGAGGAGATCGATCCATCTGGGTTGCGAAGCCCCCCCCGGGCGAACTCAGGCTGCTGAATCCGTGCGCTGCCGCCTCTCGTCTGTGTGTTGCCGTGCTGAAAATCTCGTGTTTCTGCGGGCTCTGTGGGCTGCAACTCCACTCCGAGTTGTCCATAACAAAACAATCCAAACTAACAGCAACACACGTACGCACGTACGCACGTACGCGAGAGAGAGCCTCTCTAAGCAATTTCCTGTCCTCGGAGGAGAGTCCGGTCATCACGTTATCACTACCCACTTCCCGCTGCCCCTGTCAGCCTGCATGGCCTCCCCGCCAATCCGTGATTGGTGATCAAGTTGCCGAAGCCGACTCTTCTCAGGCGCGCGGGCAGGCAGGGCTGCCATGTGTACACGCGCCGGCCGGTGCCCAGCTCAGAAATCCCCCTTTCTTCACACGCTGCGGTAGCCAATGTGCATCGAAAGCTCCGGGGCCCTTCCCTCTCCCTCCTAGGTAGGCTACTACTACTACTACTACTACTGGAGATGCTCCGTCGCCTAGCATGCTGGCGCTTGTACATTACGAGCCGTGGCGGCCGGAGAACCGGCCGGGGGGGAGGGGGACCGCTTCCACTTCTGATCTCACCTTGCTAGGTATCCCGCTCCGTGATAGAAACCATTGTTGCCACAGACCGCGCCTCCCCCCCCCTAATAACCTCTAGGCTTCCAACTATCTCCATCCCTGCCTGGGATTCCCCAATGGGTTCTGTGGGCCGATGGAGACCGAATGGTGCTATTCGTGCCTCGCGCTGGCTCAAGCTCCCTGGCCTCGCAGGGTCCCACCCCATCCCAGCCTCTCCTGATAGATTCGAACGGTTCAAACTAGACGTAGTTCAGACGATGACAAAGCTAGAGCTGCCAATGGCCCAAAGTTCGGATGAACGTCGTCGGCCCATTTGCCTTTGTTTGTCCCGCACAACGCTCTGACGGGATGGACCTCAACGGTCGACGATGATGGCGATCATCGTCACACTAGCCGGCCAGTGCCCTGTCCTCTGGCTCGATCCCCCCCCCCCTCAGAGAGACACCAGACGTTGCTCTCTCGTAACACATGACAGCATGTTGAGTCGCCTTTCAATTGTTGACACCTGTGTCCCTGCCCCTCCCAAGTGTACCACATCGCCAAGCGCCACAATGACACGCATAACTGTTTCTCTGACTCTCTGGGCTTTCTGTCAAAGATGCCATGGTTCGAAACCACGTTTGCGCCTCAACGTTAGTGCCCATTCACCGGGCGCCCCCTTGGACGATGTGGCGACCACCGGGCGAAGCCTAGGACCTTGGCCATTGGCACGGCCCCGAAGGCAAGAAAAAAAAAAGTGATACAGCACTACCGTTTCCTTGAGAGACCGTCGGAGGGCCTCTCCAGACGCAAGCTGAGCGAGACCAATGTCTTTTGCCCCCCCTATCCCATATAAGATCGTGCGTATGTGTGTGTGTGTGTGTGTGTGTGAGGCCCCTGATGGAAACCCTTCCTATTCCCTAGTGTTCAGCACACGCGAGCGGAATGCTGGGAATACGCCTCCATTAGCCTTGTTATGTCTGAGGAACGCCCACCCTCAACGCGACGCGTGGGGAAAGCCTCTATTGCTATGTCTCTCTCACTCTCTCACCCTCTAACTCTCTCCTCTCACACAAAGCTTTCTTGCTTTGTCACGGCCTCCCACGAGGAACGCAAAGCTATCGCGCGAACCGTTTAGCCTTGATCTCACTACCCTCGGGTCCGTGCAAGCGCGTTCCGGACCAAAGCTGGGGGGAAGGGGGGGTTGTCCTGGTACCTCCTCCCCCTCCTCCCCCCTCTTCGCCCCATCCCCCTCCGAACCGTCACCCTCACTCGTTTGCCTGGTTGTTCCTCCTGTGTCTCGTTCGTGGCGCTCCTTTGGCTTGGACGCCGTTAGTCTGGGCTCGTCCGATCTCTGTACTACGAGGATGCGCGCGGTTCAGATGTGAACTAGATCCCCATTGTACGTCGGGCGCGGCCCTTGATGGATCCACCGGTGCCGTGTCCCTTGACCCATTCCGGTCCCGAGGGAGCGTGGGCAATACGGGACGACGGCCTATTATCCATCGGCCTGGGACGAGCGGGACAACAACACCCACACGGTTTTGTGACAGCTCATTTCTGTCACACAGCCTGCAGGCCAAATCTCCCGAAGTCGACGCCGAATTAGGCGCGAAAAACCCAGGCCCCGCTTGGACCATGGTATCCAGCTCGCTGCTGTATGTCTCTCTTCGGGCCTCTCAGTGGCACAATATTGATCATCCTTGCAGGGTTGGCTTGCCCCTGGCAGGATGTGTGGGCTATTTCTGCAGAGCTCACCCCAAAGTCTTTCCCGCCCCTGGTGTATATCGCATATCGCGGAGGTAATGGCATTCTCCATGATCCGCGTAGGGAGATCAAGGGATTCCTCAAACTCCCCTTCTCGCGCACCGTTGAATAGAATCTTTGGGGGCGAGTATCGTGATTCGGGCAAATGGTCTGAGAATTGTCAACCTACCGCGGCAATATATTGCCACCCTCCATATATCGTCCCAAAAACCGGCTCTGATCGGATGCTTACTGCCAGGATTCCTCGCGCATGTATTCCTCGCGCTTGTATGTGCCTTGGAGCGAGCCGCGACTCAGGACGGATGATTTCTGGATGATCAACATGCCTTGAGCCTTGGAGGGTCCTAATCGGGCTGGTGCTAACCAAGAATTCCCCCGATTAGAAGTGCGAGCCTGGGCCAACATGATCTGTCCGGGAATGTTGTGGGCACCGCATGCTCCACTGTTCAGGAGGATGTTACTTTCGGAGTCCCGCAGTGTCCAGCCCGCTGTGGCAATTCTCTTGCATGTCTGCCGGATACCTTCCATCTTCCCCGGGCACGCCGCCGGCTGATGGCACTGTTCCCATTGTCCCAATGAGGCTTCCGCAAAGTCCCGCCAATGTCTCCTATGACTCAGAAACGGGCTATCAGCCTCGACCTCGAGCCTCGTGGGTACCCCATAATGTGTCCACCTATGCCTCTTTCTCGCCGTAACATCGTTCGGTCCGACTCTAGCGAGCAGTGACTCGTTGTCGGCGGTGGCTAGTACGAACACATCGTTTCACACTCACTCCAGTATTGCTTTTATCTCGAACCAGGTGGCGTTTATAGCATTCTAGAAGGGGACATGGTCAGCGTATGCAAGAGTATCACGAAAAAGGAAAACAAAAAGTTCAGCCGACAGGCCTCGTTGCGAAGCAATGTGGGACATCCTTCTTGATTGGACTACGAGTCCTATTCTATCGCCTCCTCGTTCTGGGCCATGATCTCGTTGTCCATGTCTTCCAGTACGCCTTGCATCTCCTCTTCGGTAGCTTCCAATCCATCGGAACTCATCAGCTTCGTGTCCTTCTCCTCAGCTATGGTACGGTTAGCGAATGCCATAGTTGGGCACATGGAACTGCACTTACTCCTGGCTTCAACAAGCAAGTTCTCTTGTACCTCGACGTTTGTCAGGACTGAGTTGTCTCCGATGACACATCTCTTGCCGAGGATGCATCTTGTGAGCTTGCAGTTCTTGCCGACCACTGCTCCCTCCATCAACAAGCACTGGGACAGCTTGGCTCCCTCGTTGAGCTGGCAGCCAGCGCCAATGACGGACTCCTTGACAGAAACCTTTTCCTCCACTGTGACATTCTCGCCGACAAGACTGTCGGCCTTTGTGATTGTTGTGCGGCCCTTGATGCCCTCTGGGTATGCCACCTTCTTGGCATGTGCAAAGGGGGACGCGGCATCGCTGCCAGTTTCCTCCACCGATGGCACCTTTGCGAGCTGTAATGACACATTCAGAAGCAACTGAGCAGTATCCACGCGCCTGACAATCGGCGCATCGGGTTGGGAAGGGTGCACATAAGCCATCATCGGAGGCACCTTCAGCTCCGTTCCGCGGGTCTTTGCATCGTCATCGGCATGTCCGCTCGGTTCGGTGCTTCTATAAGGTCGAAGTTCCTCGGGATCTTCATCTTGAGGTGATGTCGTGCTCTCTTGCAGAGAATCACCATCATCGTCCTCATTATCCTTACGCAAGACCTCGTCCAGTCGGAGCTTCTCGGCAAGACCAGTCTGCCAGCCAGCCTTGGCCCACCAACCGACGACATCCTCGCCAATGTTTTCCAGCCGATCATTCTTCTCAACGAAGTCCATGATCCAATGGGGCAGGATGTACAAGTGAGCATCTCGGTGTGTGGTGAGCATTCTTAGGCGGGGGTGGCGTCTCATGAGACCGTGGCGGATAGGCAAGCCTTTTCTCTCTTCCGCGAGGTCTTTGAGGGAGTCTGTAGGCATGGAATAGACGAGATTAGACAGATGCGGCAACAATGAGCCCTTGGGCGGCGAGACGTGAGACGGCGTCACGGGGGTAACAGCAATGAAGTCGGTCTCCTCTCCTTTGACCGGAGTCGCAGTCTTTGTCTCGTACCAAACGCCTAGTCCTCCACTGAACTGGTTCGAGTTGCCTGTTGAAAACTTTGGGGCGTCGAGGAGATCTGACATGCTGGCGCCACTGACCATCCATGCTTGCAGCAGCTTCTCGCCGGGAATCTCGCAAATGAGATCGCAGGGGAGAACGACAAAGTCGGAAGTGACAAGCTCCCTAACCTCGGGAAGACGTAGAATTTCAGCAGTGCCCGTGGTCTGATCCAGGTCCTTGGGAGCGAGGATGCCTGGTCTGGGGAGGGGGAGTGCTGTTAGGTATGGATTGGTGTTCAGAGCAGTGGTGAGAGCTTCCTCTGCAGAGGCGGGACAGATGAGAGTGATGTCTAAGTCGGTCAGCAGGGTGACGTCTTGCATAACGATAAGGAATCAAACTGATGAGGGCCTCTCAAGCAGAGCAAGGCAGGCCGCGGCTACTTACGGGTAATGCCCAAACGGTAGCAGAAGTCGATGGGGTACCAGACCATAGGTCGGTTGGCGATCGGTAGAAGGGCCTTCGGGTTCTCATCGGGGTTTGAGGTGAAAGTCGGGAACGAAGATCCCGGGCCACAGAGGATCAAGGCCTGGAGCCCTGGTGAGGGCATCGACACAGCGTGGGGCATCGTGAGATGCTTTGGTGGGGTGTTGCACCTGCGTCGAGAAGCTGCTGGCGGCTTTGCCAAGACGTGAATTGGGCGTGTAGTAGTTTGGAAGATATCCACTAGCAGAGCTATGCTCTCGAAGCGTCGCGTCGTTGATCTGTTCTATTCGCGTCGCGCAATGCCCGAAGCCGTCTTGGTGACTCTTTTTTTGGCGGGCGGCGCGCCGAGGGAGTCATCGCCCAAAAATGCGCCCCTCGGCGGGATGATTAGACCCACTGTTGACGTCCCGTTAGGTATGGTGGGGTTCTGCACGTGACTTTATCGGCACATCCTCGGTCCGCGGTCCGCGGAGCAGTGAGTGATGGGGGTGTTTGGCCCGGCAACCAATGGCAAGCACGGTCAACCTCGGGATGCCCCCTGGGCCGTAGCTCCTTGTCGTCCCCATGTTGATGTCTGTCAACCCCAAGCCCAAGACCAGCCACCCACGCTTGCGAGAAGTGGGTGATGTCCAGCCTGCTCCCGTGTTTGCAACTTTTTGTCCTCTAACAACCTCTTCGATACAAAGATTAACGCGAAAACGTCCGACTTCGCTACGATTGGCCACTGAATACCAGATTGGGTTGCGACACCGCTACTTGCGTAAACGCCCCAACTATCGTCGGAAAGACCCCCCCGGAAACTCGAAACCGCTATCAACCTCGAGCGGATACATCTATACCTGGGCCACATAGCCCCTAGTGCAATGCCCACATCCAACTAAATGTCGTGGCCCAATGATCAACACTCTCGGAGGCGCGGGGTATGGAGCCATTGGGTGCCGCTTGCAGTCACCGTGACTGTTGCGACAGTCGGTGTGGCTGCGTGGGTTTGGAGCCAGCGGAAGGACGAAGACGAGTCACCCGAGAGTGGACAGTACCCGGATCTCGACTACGGTAATGGTGACTACGGGGATAATTCCGCGTACGGTACTGCCAAAGGGCCGAAGCCTCCCCCGAGCAATGTCGGGACCGAAACATACGGCACAGCCGACGCATCTCGGGACCCAGCGGCTGATGGATGGGGCGCGCGCATGTCGGGCGCGTTAAGGCGCACACCCAGCCCACAGCAATTCTTCGAGTCCGCCGGCAAGACCGTCACCGCAGGCGTCGCTGCGGCTGGTGCCGTTGCCGGCCGCGCCCTTGCGGCCATCCGCGAGGAGGACAAGAATGCGTATGCCGACCACGAGACTTGGTCCGAGGAGGCAGACGCCAGAAAGGAGCGACCATCCGCGCCCAGGGACCCGAGCAAGCGGCGGAGGACGGTCGCTATTGTCGTCTCTGCCGACAACCATGCGGATGATTTCGACGAAGATGGCTTCCATGAACACGCTGTAAGTGCATCCTTTCCCTCCCCCATAGCTACCGTATCGCCTACGCATATCTAACCAACATGCAGTCCATCTTGTCGCATATCCCGCGCTACAACGATTTCAACGACATTAAACTTTTCGTTTTGATCTACGCGCCGGGTCTGAAGGAGCCTGCTGGCGAATCTACGAGTAACCTTCCGCCACCTTCGTTGAGCTCGTCCTTCTCTAACATTGAGCACCATCAAGCCCAGACGCCTGGTGAAGAGCCGTCAAAGAGCCCCTTGATGCAAGCTTCATCTGGAAACGCTGCCTTCAATGCCGTGTACTCTCAGGCATTGGCTCTGGTCGAGAAGGAAACCATGGTTATGCCCTTCACCACACCCAACGGCCACAACCACATCCTACGCCATCTGCAGCCTGAGATTATCTATCTCCAGGAGAGTCTGGCCGGTGAGAATGGCAGTGTCGTCTCCAACCTGCAGACCTGGCTACGCCACGACATCATCCTTGTTGTCGGTGCAGAAGGTGGCGACGGGGGCCTCGCCGACAGCGAGTCGGAAGCCGAACGGCCCGCCAAGGAAGAGAAGTGGTGGCAGCGAACGGACCGTGTTGGACGGGGCCGGGGGGTCGTGGTTGTTGACGGCATGCGGGTCCATGACGACTGGGCCCGCCGCGTCCAGGGCAAGGAGTAAATGCTTACGACCCCACGGTGTATAAATGACGACCTGAATATCCGATCACGTTTTTTATGTAAGCACGAGAGGCTCTCGATGGATGTGGAAATATGTTATGTTCGGACTGTATATACCACGAGATATCATGTTACGTTTTCATGAGGAAGGTAATTGACTATTGTAGCGCAAACCCGTCCTATTCGCGCGTGAATCACATGGACGACTAACATAATTGTGGGAAGGATAGTATTATCACACGAGTGCCCTCGGAAAGAACAAATTCAAGTCAATCTGAACGTCAAGTCGCTGCTTGGCGAGCTTCTCTCACCCGGCCAATTCGCATCCACGTGTTCTCTAAGCCAAATGCAGTTATGCACAGTCCCTATCAAGGTACTATGGTACTTACCCAAAGGGGTCCCCCGTGGGGTCGCACAGGTGCACGATGGGTCTAGAACAGTCATAAAACACCGTAAAAGCCCTATGCTTTGCTCAGTGATCAACACAATATAAAGTTTTGTGATAATAGAAAACTTTACTGTGAAATCCTATAACTAGCCCTTTTGATCAACCAAGGCGGAGCTTTCAGAGATGACTCCCCTAGTTACTACCCCTATACACTGTTTATGCACTGTATGCGTACAGTAGGCTTGTGCCTGTATCCGGGGTTTTGCCTGAGGCTTGCTTGCCTTGTTGTCTTCCCTCCACGCCCACGACCCCGTCTCGGACACTTGCGGCGGTTCCTCCTTGGAGCCTCACACGCGGAAGACTGACTACATCCCAACCCCACACGCCTGGAATTCCATCCCTCTGGCCTGTCGTGCATCTTCTCTATCCTTTTCTCTGCATTAATCTTGTTTTCCCGGTCTTTCGCTTCGATACTTCGACAACCGCCGCCGCGTTTCCGACCCAGACTTCACTTCTCCACGCCGACGTCACCCGATTCGTCAACGCGAATCATCCACCTTGCACATCCACCTCCGGAACCCCATCACGATCGACGAGCGAGCCGAACATCTCCTTCAAATGATTGCTCTGTAACGCGCATCTGGGCATCATTCGACAGTGGGAAAACAGCGTCGCGACACCTTTTTGGCCTGCTCTGGACCGGTAGCCGCCCCCTCCGGCCATCATGGCGCCGGTCGTGACAGCGGTCCAACCGCCTTCTGTCGCGTCCAAAGTCAAGCGTCCTGCGCCCCCAGGTATCCAAACCAATGGGGCTAGTTCAATCCGTTCATCACCCTCTCCTTCGATGTCGACCAAGAAGCCCCCAAACTCCGCAACGATGAACGGCGCGAACCCACAATCGGCGCGACCTGCTAACCGCACGCGCCGCGAGCCGTCAAATCAAGCCAGTCGCATATCCAGAAACAGCGTAGGGTTGCGGTCAGCATCTCTCGCAGCCGACATGGCCTCCGCCCAAGCCGTGGAGCCACCACCATACAGTGAGTTTCGTCCGGAACCTCTCTGTGTTCCTGGATGGGCATTGTGCTGACATATACACAGTTGTGACAGACGAATACATCCTCAAGAAGTACTCGGGGAACCCCCCGTCTCTCGTTGTCCACATGCACCCGACCCATTTTCGATTCGACCAGCAGGATGGCATCTTCCCATACAAGTCCCCGATGCGACTTTTCCTGGAGCATTTGCGCATGCGGACGGTGCCTCACGATCTCCTCGAGTACTTCTCACAAGCAGGCGTGCCTTTTTACGAGGGCTGCCTGATCGTCCAGGTTCATGATCACAAGTCGGTGGCGCAGTCCAAGGATGTCCAGCGCCCAACGTCGGCATCGAACAAAGTGGTCCCTTCCTCCATCCACAACCACAATCCGTATATCGTGCCATCGCCGTATGTGCCTTATCCAAAAGAGTCCCTAGGAACACACCCGGATGCGGCATCCGGCGTACAAGAGGACACAAAACCAAAGACAGCGGAGGAAAAGGACAAGGAGAGCATGCCGGCTCCAAGCTTGCCAGGCGAAGGGCAGAAGAGCAGAACCCCCTCAAAGCCCAAGACCTTCACAGTGGTCCTCCACCCTACACCGGAAAGCTTGCAAGCGGATCTCTTAATCAAAGCTGCAACTCCTCATGGCACAACTGACGCGCGTGGTACTGTTGACGGCACGGCACCTCCTTCGACACCGATATCGATGGTCCCGCCTACTCCCACTGCGGGGAGCATGGCCCCACCGGCCAAGAAACAGAAGCGCGAGCGCATGGAACTTGACGGAAGCAACATATACGTAGCAGAGTCCCAGATTCTTCTTGCGACCAACGCGCCTCTGTTCTTGGAGCCAACAAGGGATGCGGAAGAGACGATTGCTCTTCTGGATATACTGGCGCATCCCAACCACTCGGACTCGCCTCCTCAGCCCAAGACCAGGAAGAGGACCGTGGCGGAGATGGCGGCCGACGAAGCAGCTGCGGCAGACCAGGAAAGATACATGCTCATCCTCGACGAGCGGCTTTCTTCCAGCACCAATGGCGCACAAAGCGGAGCCAACGGAGCCGACAAGGAAGGCCCGGCCGTTGTGTCTACCTTCGAGCCAAGGTTCGAGCGCTTCAAAGTCATTGCCGATATCAAGAGAGAGCACGACGAGAGGAAAGAGCAGGAAAAGGTCAAGGCGGCCGAGGCCGAGCGGAAGCTTGCACAGGAAAAGCAAAAGCAGATGCAGGAGCAACAAGCCGTCATCGCGGCCCAAAGACAAGCAGAGGCGGAGAAGATGCGGCGCGAACACCAAATGGCCCAGGAGCTCAAGGCCCGCCAAGAGCAGCAGCAGAGGGAACAGCAGAGACGAGCCATGGCCGCACAAGCCGCTGCGGCCCAGGCTGCGCAGAACAACAACCAGAACGCGGCGGCAAACATGGCGCAGCAGCAACAGACGAACGGCTCCATGCCCAACGGCACAGCTGGTGGTGTTGCGAGCGCCGTGCCAGCCCAGGCCCAGGCGCGCTTCTCTCAAGCAGCTCAACCTACTGTGTCTTCGCCCGTTATTCGCCAAGGGACACCTCACAGCATGTCTTCCCCCATGCCTGGCGCTGTACCCATGCAGCAGTCCAACTCCCAGATGGCAAACAGTCCTCCGCGCCCTCCATCCGCAGTGCCCAGACACCCGGGCAACGTTGGTGGCGTCCCCATGTCACACAGCATGTCTGCTCGCGCAAGCCAGCAGAGCCATCAGGCTGGCACTCCCCGTATGCATCATGGAACGCCCAGTATGCAGGGGACACCTGGCACCCGTCCGGCAGTGGCGGCTACACCACGTATGAACCAGGCCAGCCCACCGCCCAACATGATGGCCTCGAACTCGCAAATGGGCCAGCACATGATGATGGGCACTCCGGGATCCATGCCACAGCCTGTACATAACCCCAACCTGATCGCGGCGCAGGTTGCTCAGCAACAGCGAGCCATACAGCAGCAACAAATGGCGGCAGCTATGCAGAACGGCATGGGTAACATGATGAACGGCAACATGAACCCGCAACAGATGACGCCGCAGCAGCAGCAGCAGTTCCTGCAGCAACAGATGCAGCATAGAATGATGATGCAGCAGCAGCAGCAGCAACAGCAACAACAGCAGCGCGGGAATATGGGCAACATGGGCAACATGATGAACCAGCAACTCGCGCAGCGATACGCCCAGCAACTCAGCCAGATGGGCGCCAACCAAATGAATGGCGGCCAGATGACGCCGCAGATGCAGGCGCAGATTCAGGCCCAGCTCCAGGCGCAGATGGGCAACCCGATGCAGCGCCAGATGGCCGGTGGTCAGAACATGATGAACGGTCAAAACATGAACATGCAGGCGATGATGCAGATGCATCAGCAACAGGCGATGAACAACAATAATGCGCTTACGAACCAGGTCAAAATCCAAGGACAAGCGATCTACAACAAGCAGATTGCCAATCTCGCGGCAAAATGGGGCGGTGCTGTAGAGAACATCCCGCCGGAGCAGATGGAGGCATTCAAGCGGAACTGTATGATGGAGGCCAAGAACCAGATCCAGAGCGTCCTTGCGCAGCGGAGGGCTCACCAGGTGATGCAACAGCAGCAGCTCCAACAACAGCAACAACAGCAGCAGATGCAAGGAATGGGTGGTATGATGGGTCCTCACGGGATGTAGGGTGATCCTAGGGTCTTGATGTTGATGTGTCTGCATCACCACCACTGAAGATGCCCTTGCCTTCACCTCCAAGGCTATGTTGAAAATGGCAGTCGCCTAGGCGGGTGAGATGGAACGATGAACCGACAATGGTGGGAGGGGGCTGGTCCGGTTGTGAGCGTATTTTTTTGTCCACATTTGGCGTCTGAGGAGTCCAAGGACGGATTGGTTGGTTTTGATCTATCATGATCTTATATACCCCTATGAAGGCGCATCTACCTTATCCTTCAAGGTGCGGTTAGGGATGGACGGCAGTTCTTTTTTTATTCCAAGTCACGGCTCATGGGGTGGGAGAAGACAGCGAACCGAAAGAAATGTGCATACACGCCAGGACCTCTCAAGGTTCTGAAGAAGCGAGTTTAATGTATCACTTGGTGTATCAAATAAAGAATTCATACAACATTAACCACGCATCACCTACCCTTCCTACAGTTACATACTTACCTAGGTAGGTGGGTATTCTGTAAAGGCAATACGAATATCCGTACTCGTACTATCCTAATGGCCATAATTGATGCTTATGTCAGCAAGCATATGCGTCATATTTTGGATCCACTTACCCATGCTGAGGCACTTGCACGTGATTCGCTAGATCTTCGGCATGACGACGGTGCTGCGAGCTACCCAAACGGTTGTGGTCCACTGTCCCTGTTCGCAGCTGCATCATATCAGCCAGCGAGGTCATCCACTGCCCCCCCTGCCCGGCTTCCCACGTAACAAAGCCACATGGTCCATTCCTAGGCCGTGACCTTGCCAATTTCCTCTAGAACCGTACTCATTACGTATTACAAGGTGTACATTCTTGTCACGTTGCCCGGTACTTATTCAACGTCTTTGCAGGCTTGTTTGATAAGCTTCCGGCTGGAGAGCTGCAATTGCCCCCAGTACACGAGATCTGTTCCGACCCGGACGCGACTCGGTTTCCCCGACCTGTCGAACCCCATCGAAGCTATCCGGACGATCGCTCTAATCTCCCGAGATGCATTTTCCTCGTCTCCAACGGACGGAGGCAGCCTTTCTGCTGGCTCTGCTCATGTTGCCACTGCCAGTGGCCTCGATGCTGGACTGCAAGCATATTCTGGTGGATGATGTCGCGTTCAACCTTGGGGCACTAGGCGGGCCGCACAGCGTCGTGACCAGCAGATGGCACCCTCCTACCTTCACCAACACTTCCTACACTGTCGACATCTGCGCTCCCCTCAAACGAAAGGGAGATGTCAAAAAGGACGAGCAATGTCCCAGCTCCACGCGAGGCAAGCTTCCGCCCTGTCTCAAAAGCATCCAACTTGGGATCTACAACGCTAACGTTGATGAACAGTCTGTGCCATCGAGCGCACCATTCACCCGGGCCCGGATAACAAGGACGAGGTTGAGAAGGTGATACCTATTGCTGGCGAGCTGGGCGATCACGGGGGAAGGGCTTTGGACGCCAAGCCCGAGCGGCTCAAGTCGAGCGACTCCCACTCGGATGCGAAGAAGGAGGGCGTTCGGCTTATTCTCAACGGCGGATCTTATCCACTGGGTAGGAGCGGCAGAAACCAGAAGGCCATTATCGAATTCATTTGCGACCACGATAAGTCTGGCCTCGAAGGCGAGTTCAAGCCCGAGGACCAGTACGACGGCAGCCAATTCCGAGCCCGCGAAGAGGACAAGGATGGCAAAGACGAGGACGGGCCCTCACCAGTTGAGAAGCAACTTCTGATGCCCAACGCCTCCCTGATCTGGAACAGCTACGGCCCGAGCGAAAAGGAAGACGTGGACGTTCTGAGGTTGACCTGGTACACCAAGTATGCCTGTGAGGACGCGTTCGGAAAGCCGCCCAGCGAAGGTGGCAGCGGCGACGCGAGCAGCCACTGGGGCTTCTTCACCTGGTTTTTTGTTTTGTAAGTCAACCAGACACGTTGTGTCTTGCTCGGCAACAACACGACGGCAGCAGCTAACTTGCCATTTCTGTAGGAGCTTTCTCGGCATCGCGGCGTACCTTGTCTTTGGCTCCTGGCTGAACTACAACAGATACGGCGCTAGGGGCTGGGATCTTCTGCCGCACGGAGACACGATCCGCGACATCCCCTATCTGGTGAAGGACTGGACCCGTAGCGTGCTCAACACTGTCAACGGTAGTGGCAGCCGGGGCGGGTACAGCGCTGTTTAGAACGGGCGTGGTGCTTCGGGCATCTGTAGGGTAGAAGAAGTGTAAATTTATCGGTGTAAACTGGGTTAGGCAATATGGTTCTGGGTCCATGGTTTTTGGAGGGCATTATTCCGCGAGTCTCACCACGACTTGGAGTTGGACTGGCTTTTGGTCTTTGAGGCTCTTCGCATTAACTTGATCGTCCAAGAAATACAATATGATTGAGACGGCGTCGATATTTCATTGTCTAGTTGGTATTGATGCGATGGACGTTCTGGTTCCGTACCAGGCAATCCCGTCCGGGAGCGCAGCGGGGGGGATGTTCGGTGGACCAATGATGGATGTGGGGCCGGTGACAGCATCGGGAGGAGCGGAGAAAAGCTGCGCACTGTCCTCGTACCTCTCCGGCTTACCTCCGTACAGTTCTCATCTCATACGCACGTCGAACCACTGACACGGCCACCAGCCCCCATAAAGCAGAGCCACGGCATGGCAGACAAGACGAGCACAAGGGACGACGATGTGGCTCGCGGTTTCATCGATGAGGGCTTTTCGCAGGATGGGGACGAGGAACCATCGCCTCCCTCCTTCATTCCGCTTCCACTGCCCCAGCTCACCGACGAGCCCCAGGCCCTCCCCGACTGCTGTCTGAGCCTCTCCCTCCCTCTACTCCGGGAGCTGCACGGCCTCCTTCCGCCCGCGCCGCACCTCACCCTCTCGATAGGCAGCGGCACCGGCCTCGTCGAGGGCCTCCTGCACGCCCTCGCGTCGTCGTCGTCGTCGTTGTCGTCGTCGTCACCGCCGCACGCGATGCTCAACCTCGTCAGCGTCGAGGTCGCGCCCAGCCCGAACCGGTACCACGTGGCCCACCGCACCGTCCCGGGCACCTGGGCGCTCGACCCGTTGGCGGGGGAGGCGCGGGCGTGGGTGTTTGTGTACCCGAAGCAGGTGGCCCTGGTGCGCGATTACATGGCCGCGTTCTCGGGGGGCAAGGGGTGCGCGGTGGAGACGGTAGTATACATCGGGCCACGGCGGGACTGGGATGATTTCCGGGCCGCGTTCGAGGGGTTCGCGAGAGACGTCGAGGTCTGGGACGAGGAGAAGATGGAGGCGGCCGGGGGCAGGGCGTGGGAGTGCCTTGCTGTTGTGAGGCCGGAGAAGCGCGGGAGGTCTCCGTCTCCTCCGGATTCGTAAAGGGGAGCAGAGGCCTTTCAGTTGCCGGGTGATGCACTTGGAGGGGGAGGGGCCGAATACAGGAGGTTCGAGGTGTGTTCTGCTCTCTGCGGGTGAACGAACGCGCCCCAAGGTGGGACAGACACAGTTGCCCGTCAGTCATGCACCCTTTCATCCAGACCCTAAACGCCATCCAAGCTCTCATAAGTTGGCAAACCTACTGGGTTTGTTTTTTCTTTGATGCTAACATTTACAGAGTCACTGAAAGCCATCCGACCATGGACACAGCTGAATTGCACGCCAGTCCGCCAAGCCGCGCATGGAGAATAGGCGGGATGAAGATCCATCGTGTCACTTGAAGCATCGAAAAGTGATGGTACCGCAGCAGAGTTCATACGAGCCATCTGGTCTTGCCCGGGGCAACGATTGAAACCCCCACCGCCTTTGTTTTTGTTTTTTTTTTTCTCAAAAGAGCAGCCGGTATCATTCACACTAAGAGATCGCGTCTATGTCTGAGGAAATGGCGACGCAAATTCTAAAGCTATGCCAAACGACGAAGATTACTGGCAACCCTCCCCCTCACGGCCAAAAGTAGACCTGGCTCGTCGGCATTACCCCTTCAGTCCGTTTCACCACGTGCTACACGGCGCGACCTTGGGCGTACGTCTTCGCGCAAAAAAGTAAAATACCGAAATATGTACACACAATGGAACTGCCTCCTCCGAGGTCAACTCTGAGAAGGCTCCCGGGGTTCCCCTTACGCCGCGGCGGCAGACGGCGGCGTCATGGACGCGGCGAACTGGGCGGCCTCGGCGGCGTTGTCGCCGTACGTCAAGTGGGCGCGGCGGATCTGGCTGCCGCCCTCACAGATGTTGTCGCCGTTGTGGCAGATGACCATGGTCCTTTGGGTGGGGACGCCCTGGACGGGCTGGCCATTGACTGGGGAGAGGGGTCAACTTCAAGTCTCATCCGGGGAAAGGGAAGAAAGGGCTTACGTGGGTCGCCAAAGATGACGGCACCAGCGACGCTGGCCACCATGGACTGGGACATCATCGCCGCGGCGTTGTGCACCAGCTGGCCGCCCTGGGAATAGCCGGACATGATGATGGACGAGTTGGGGCACTTTGTGATGGCCTGCTCGGTGAGGGTGGCCATTGTCTGGGAGCCCTTGGCGTCGCCGCCGGCGAGGAAGCCTTGGACGCTGGCGGGGTACTCGACGCCCTGGACGGCGAGGGCGCCACCGACCTGGGCCGACAGGGCCTGGAAGAATGGCGGGCCGGCGAGGGTGCCGACGTTGCCGCGCTCGGTGGTTCCGCGGGCGAAGATGACCATCGTGGGCTGGCAGGGGCCCGAGAGGCCGTCCTGCTGGTTCCCCGAGAAGTCGGCCTGTCGGGGCACGATCGCGAAGGGGGAGGCGGACGCCATGCCCAGCACGGCGAGGAGGAGGGCCGGTGTTGATCGGTGCATCTTATTCAGTCCCCCAGGCGGGGTTATTATATCTGTATAGATAGGCTGAGCTGGGGCGTAGTGACTTTGGTAAACCGAACCTTGGGCCAACAAAGCTTCAAAGTGTCTCCTGTCATGACGTTAGATGGGGAGGAGAGTGCGACTTTGGGCTTCTTATACCGAGGGGCTTTACCCCCCCCCTTCCCCACGGCCTGGACCTTTATTCAAACTGCGCAGACAGCTCACAGAACAAATGCACAATAAGCTCAACTTCCCAGGTATGAGATGCTTTTGTTTCCTGTAGCAAAACGGCTTCGGATGCCGCAACCTCCTCCCGATGGGGAAAGGAGGGCGGATCACAGAGCTAGCGGCCCACACGTGGGGGGATGGACCCTGATGCCGCCGTCACTGGACGGGTAGGAAAGGATGGGCACTCTCTGCTGGGACCCAAAGTCCTTCTGGCCGACTGAGAAGGAGAGACGGGGGGGGGGGGGGGGGGGGGGGGCATGGCAGATAGAATGCTAGCCGCAAGCTTGGCTGGAACCGTCAAGCGGGACCCTTGAGAGCTCGTCAAGACAAAACTACGTCTTCAACGGCAGACGACTGACGGCTACTCCCCTCCTTCGCTCATAGAGCAGAAGGAAACGTCCGAATCGGGCTCGAATCATCAGACGGTAACAGTTGCGATTGGTCGAGGTCGTTTCATGGATCAGGCCGGTCCGGTGTGTTTACGCGAGAGAGGACGATCCGAAACGACCGGTGCGCAGCAGCGGGCAGAACGGTAAGGAGCACGCCCACTCATTCTCAGAGAAGCTTTTTGTTTCCTTTCCTTTTTCCTCTATCGGCCTCCCCCCTCCCATCGGAGCGATCCAGATGTGTGGGGACTGGCGATTTGCGAGGTTTTTGCTTTTCTTCCTTCTACTTCTTTTGTATCTCTCTATCCTGGCGTGCTTGGCAGAGTGGTCGCGCTGGTGGATCAGAAGCAGACGAGGGACTGCTGGTCCTGGGCCCGAGGGAAAAGCGGCAGGTCTGGCATCACCTTTTTTTTTTCTTCTTCTTGCGATCCGGTGTCCCCTTTTTTTTTCCCATATTCACCGTCTAGACCAAGAAGGGGTTTCTTCGTCCTTTGGAAGAGATGGAAAAGATGTTCGTCACGTCCGAAGGCGCGGTTGAACCGTTGACGACATATGAGGGGGAGGGGGGGCTCGACCAGTCCGTCCGCTGAGAATCGTCTCAAGTTTCGGCCGGTTCTGTCGAAAGACGACCGAAACGCAAACGGGATGGACTCGGACTTTTGAGACGAGTGACGTTCGGTGGGATAACCTAAACGAGGCCTGACTTTTCACCTCAGCCCTGGCGCGCCGGGCTTGGGGATGCTGTCAACGAGACGGGATCGGCAAGCGTAGCGGGGCCGGGGTGACGCCAGTCCGGTTATGCTGCTCTTCGGTTTGCTCGCCCAGTTCTCTTGGGACTGCGAGTTGGAACCCGTCGGCGTCTCGTCCTCATAGGATTCTGGTGATGGGATAGGGTTGGCATGGCGTACGATCGCCGGGATCACGTCGCCGGAGATGAAGCTTCCAAATGGGGGCAACGGTGTTTACTTTTTCGTACCCTCCACCAATCGATTCGGGTGGTGAGGGAGCTGGCATGATGGAGGGTTTTGTGTCGAGCAATTTTGGATGGCTGAGCGGCTTATGGACGGTGTAGCGACTAGACTTCCGGAAGGGTAGCTGACAGTCGTGTGAGTGTGTTGATTGATGCACAGCGCGCTCAACTGAGTTCGATCATGCGCTTTCTATATTCGGGACTCCGGGGAGTGTCGTGGTCTGGGTTTGGCTCAGTTTCAAGATCTTCAAGTAGGTACTTGAGACAGGCAACCCTGTGTATAGCTAAGTGAGGGTCGCGGAGGCCCGTCAATGGTCGAAAGGCAGATATGAGCCGTCAAGTCGGGTCTTGATCTTCGTTTCCGGTCCGTGGGGTCATCACATCATGTCCAGGGCCATCGACTTCGTGAAGCATGGTTCTCCTGGTGGAGAAACGTGACGGAACCCCGCCGTGTCCTCGGGTGAGGAGAGCTATGAATAAACCGGCCGAAGAGCCCTCAGAATTGCGGGTTGTTGAATTCACATTGACCACCTGTGGGTGAACTCGGCAAGCTCTAACCTCACGATAGGCAACACTCATGGGACTTGCTAGTTCTGGTTTCATCGGGCTACAAACTGCGATGATTTGTCGCGCGCAGCAGGAGTAGAAGTCAGCGGAGCATTCGTGACGCAACTTGTTCGTCTCCATGACTTCCAAGGCTCCCAGCTGAGCTTCTGTCACGATTGTAACTTAAGCTTTGCGTCTGCTTGATGCCAGGTGGTTTCATAATGTGGCTTAAAGTATTTATCTTTTTTACCTTGAGCGGTGGAAGACGAAAAGAAGCTAAAGCCAAGATAGGGTCAAGCGGCGCTGCTGTCTACTGGTTGCGGTAGGTGAGTTCTAGATGGTAGCGGGACAGGTCGATGAGGCTGGAGCGAGAGGGGCGGTCACAGGAGGTGAAAGTCACCACGTATGGTCCTCTGGAGTCAGAGCAAACTGCAAGATTTTCAAAAGAACAGCGTACGCTTTTCTATCTAATGCCTAACTTCTAGGCTTCTCCATCCAAGTATCATTGCTCCATTGTGCAGGCGAATCACCCAGAACTCCACCCGTGCAGCATTCTTTTTGTCTCAAAGGTTGTTGTCTGTATATAGTTCCTCATGGCCATCGCCATCTTGATATACATCGACTGTTATGCGCTCGGGCTCGATAAGGGGTCTCATCTCGACTCTCTTGATCTTGCAATTATCGTCGGCATCGAAGATCATGACCGTCCGTTGCTTCTCGTAGGAGGAGGCAGACGTAGCAAGGTAAACTTCGACGGGGCAGATGATACGACGTCGATCTACTGTGGTAATGATGATGCGGATGGTACTTATGTCAAGTATGCAGAAGCCAAAGACTTCTTGAACGCCCTTGTGTACTTGCCCTGAACCCCTCTTGCCAGTAATCATAGTAACGTCTTCGGTGCAGAGTTCTTTGAGTAATGTCTCTGAAGAGATGGCGTCTGCCATTGCATCGATAAGACGATGGGCTCTGGAATCAAGCTGACGACCGAGGGGCTTGTATCTGGAATCTCCAAGCAGCTCGGCGAAAACGCGCTCCTCTTTCTCAGTCTGTGAAACCATCGTGCTGTTTCTCAACACCTTGTCAGCACGAGGTCATTCTCACTGCTGGGTAACCAGTTAGACATACCTGGCGCTTGAACGTGCTAGATAGGCTGAGATGAATCGCGGTTATGGTTCGCAACTGTATCGTTCGGGTTGAACTGGCGATTGAGATTTTGTTGACTTTGTGTAGATAGGGACGGATTGAATTATATGTCGGCCGACGATCAGATGTCGTATGGTTGGGTTGGTGGAGTTGATGAGGGAGAGATATTGAAAAGCGAATACCGAGCGAGCTGGTTGCTTTTATAGCAAGATGTGAAGCTGGGTAGGAATCGGTGAAGGAAAGAGCCACTGGATCAGGTGTATTAGAAGGAGCGGAGACGGCGAGGCAGGTGCAAAGTTGGTATTTTTACCTTCACTCTTTCTTTCTCTGGCGAACTGTTGAGCGCGTCACATATTTAGGTAGTGAAACAACCTTTACAAATACACGCAAAAGCCGACGGTCGTATACATTTGAGCGGTTCACTCAATAGACGTTCTTTGATATTCAAGATGCTCAATGAGCCCACATCGAAACCGACATGTGGAGAGACAATTATCGCTAGCCTAAACTGCCGCTGCCTTGCGTGGGGTGAAAATCTAAGTCTAGGGTTCGTAAGGAGGTTTTTTTTAAACGCCGGCGCCAAACGATTCATTACATGGGGGAGTCAAGTCCTATCACGCGCGAGAGAGTGAGGGAGGTGTTCATGAGCGGGTGACAGAGATGGCCTCCTCCAAGATGTCCAAGCCCTGCTGGATCTGCTGCTCCGTGATGGTCAGAGGTGGGACGAAACGCAGGGTGTTGGTGCCGGCGGTGATGACCAGCAGGCCGCGCTCGCGGGCGGCCTTGACGATGGGTGCGGGGTCCTGGGTCAGCTGGAGGCCGAGGATGAGGCCGCGGCCGCGGACCTCCTTGATCAGGTCGGGGAAGCGCTCGCGCAGGGCGTCGAAGCGGGTCCTGAAGATGTCGGCCTTGGCGGCGACAGCCTTCTGCAGACCGGGGTCGGCGAGGCGGGAGACGATGTTGTGGGCGAGGCGGCAGGCGAGGGGGTTGCCGCCAAAGGTGGTGCCGTGGTCGCCCACCTTGATCTTGTCCGAGACGTTGCCGTTGACGATTGTGGCGCCGATGGGGAAGCCGTTGCCGAGCGCCTTGGCGGTGGTGATGATGTCCGGGTGTGCCTCCTTGGGCAGGTGAGCGTGCGCCCAGAACGCGCCGGTGCGCGACAGGCCGCACTGGATCTCGTCGTAGATGAGGACGGCGCCGACCTCGCGGCAGCGCCTGGCGAGGGCGATGAGGAACTCGTCCGTCGCGGGCGTCACGCCGCCCTCGCCCTGGATGGGCTCGACGATGACGCCGCACGTCTTGTCCGTGACGACGTCGTTAATGGCCGCGACGTCGTTGAACGCGCCGAGCTTGAAGCCGGGAAGCATCGGCGCAAAGGGTTCCTGGTACTTGGGGTTGTGGGTGGCTGACAGGCTGCCCATGGTCCGGCCGTGGAAAGCGTTGTTAAACGAGACGATCTCGTACTTGTCACCCGAGGCCTGGCCGACCTTGGCGGCCTTCCTGGCGAACTTGATAGCGGCCTCGTTGGCCTCGGAGCCCGAATTGCAGATGAAGACGGAGTTGACGTCGTGCATGGCGCCAGCCTCACGGGTCTTCTCGACCAAGAGCTTGGAGAGGGCGCCGGTCCAGGGGTTGTAGTAGAGGTTCGACGCGTGCATGAGGGTGCTTCCCTGTTGGGTGTTGGCGTCACTGGTCAGTAACGGTCGAGATGACTCACGGCACACCTCGGGGGGGGACGGGGGAGGCTGCTCACCTGCTCGGTCAAGAGCTTGGTAAGCTCCGGGTCGCAGTGGCCGAGGGAGTTGACGGCGATGCCGGCGGTAAAGTCGAGGTACTGCCTGTTCTCGATGTCCCAGAGCACAGATCCCTGGCCTTTTACGAATACGGGCGGCGGGCGGGCATAAGTGGCGACCATGTAGGGCGCATGTTCGCGGACGAGGGCGGCGCTCGCCGAGTCTTCGGTCGGATCAGGGTTCGGTAAAGAGGCCTGGCTCTGGGAGGAACGAAGCTGTTGTCAGTACCAACTGTAACTTCGAAACGCGCAGTCGTTGGGGAAGGAGGGTGGGGGGATAACCGACTGTGATGCTGCTCTTGACGTCCTCCGGGAGGCTCGAGGCGGCCGTCGCAGAAGACACCGCACGAGCGTTGCCGCGCGAGGAGACGGCCAGAAGCGGCTGGCACTTGGCCAATTGCAGTCGCAGAGGAGCACGGAACGCCATTGTGATATTCCAAGAAAGAAAACGAGACTCGGGCGGTGGTGGTTGTTGGAGAGAGAGAGAGAGAGAGAGAGAGAGAGAGAGAAAAGTCACACACCCGGTTTAAAATTTGGGGCCGTTCGCGCATGCATAGAGCAGAGGTGACTCGTCAATCCTGCTATCGATAAGCCGTTCCGTTTCTGCATCGAGGGGCACATCCTCTTCCCGGGGGTACGTGCATTTGGACCCCGGCGATCCCGCTCCGATCTCGGCCGTGGTCGGACGAAACGAGCCTGGAATATGTCGAATTATTTCTGCAATGACAAGGGCCACTCAAGGAGTCATCTAGATACAAGTTACTCAATGACATGGTATGGTACGGTCTCTTTCTAACAATTCAAATTCTCATTCAGCAGCCAACTGCTCGCCATTGAAAGCATATTGCCGAAACTCTCGCCTTTCGTCATTGTAATATGAGACTGACTAGGTTAATATTGAGTTAAGCCTTTTGAACTTTTGCAAACAACCCAGAAGCACAAGCCCATCTAGACACCACCTCATGTGCCTTGAACAATTTGTTGATGCCACAAAGAGGAAACACAAGGGAGCTACCATTTCCTCTGGCTCTTCGCTTGCCGCCCGATCTCAAAAAGGCGGCAACAAGACCCTCCGCGATATGCAGTTTCCCGCCGGATAGGATCATGATGCTTTTTCCGCTTTCAAATCACACCGTTCAAAAACAGAATAGGTGTCGTTTTGGCTCGCAGTGAGATTGGAGATTTGTAAGTTGGACAGGTCTTGGAGCGCTAAACGCATTCAGTCACGATAGCTTCATACAGCACCTGTCGGGTGGAATGTGCCATATCGCATGGCATTTTACTCAATACTCGTATCACCTACCTATATAGATAGAATATTTTCTTTACATCTCTACTTTCATAAGAATAAGCCTTTCTTGATACTATTATTATATGCCCTGCCGAGTGCTCTAACTCGTGACACATTCGCTCATCACCAAGACCCAGAAGTATTTAGGAAATGTTCTCTTCACAGTACCCCTGCCATTCTCGTATTTAGGAAGATGTTAGGGGATGAGACTACACTAAATAAAGGAGTTAACTAATATTGTAGCTAGAGATTAATTGTAACAATTATTGATATCTGTCTTTCTTTCATCCTAGAACTCCTACACACTCCCCTTTTACATGCCTTTTAGGTAATAGTTTATCCACCTCTAGCCCTACTGCTAGTGCCCTGCTAGCTCCCCCCCTCCCCTACTGCTTCCGGATTATTTTCAGTCCAAGGGTGAACTCGTGTAATATCTCGAAATGTTTCTCTTTGGCGACATGGAATGGTCACTAGGCTTCAGGAACATGATGGCGTTTCTCACGGCGCTGCCTGGGTTAAGAGACGAAAATCTTCAGGAAGGCTCTCATGTTAGGCGCCGGGGACCTGTAGGGTCGTCCTCCGATATGTCCGAGGCGTAAACCATGTCTCGGGGATCCGTTGCATGGCTCCCTCGGAACTGCAGCAGTAAAGTTTGTAGACTCTTCGTCTTTGCAGATCTCCCCATTGAAGGAGTCGGCACCACGTCCAGATCAGCCCTAACTTGAGAATCTGAGTCGACTCCGACAAGTTTTGCGGCAGTCGCGAGCATATAAGCCGGGGCGGACCATCTGCCGCAGCATACCGAGGCCGGGCGAGCATGGAAGACCTCTTGCAGGATCCAGATTGGCGTGAGCCAAGGGTCTTCGAAAATGGTCATCAGGCCGTCTCGTAGGTGTTGACAAGGGGCTACCCGGTCATTGCTCGAGTCTTGCTTCGCCGATAACCAATCTTCTTGTGCATGGCTGAGGCTTTTGTGGTCTTTTTGGCCCGACTTCTCTCGATGAATCTTTTTCAAAAGGCCCATCAAGACCTTGGTCTTATACGAGGGAGCCCTCAGCCATATGAGGAGGACCTGCTCGCTCTCGATAGAATGCTGAAGCTCTTGCAGTCGAATAACGCTTCTCTTTCATGTTATCCCACATGAGCCGAGCGGATAATCTCTGAAGCCAAAACCGATAGGTCCTTGGAAGCCAACAAACCCGATCGAACAACGCGAGAGAACCGCCGAAGCCTTGAGAGATCTTCCGGGAAGAGCAAGTTCTACCAATGACAATAACGGACGGCCAGTTGCAGGGTATGAACCAAATGAAGCCTGATACTGCCGGACCCCGTAGCCACATTGTGTTCCACAAAAAGCATCCAGCCTATTCTCCAGATGCGGTCTGCCTGCTTTTCTCCATATCGTGTTTCCGGTCAATTTTGAAGCAGATACTTGCTGTTTCAGGAGAGGATAACAATAGCTCGTGAGCAAATAAAAATATCTTCAGAATGCAGCAACGTCGGAGCTTATAGATGCGCTAGTTGCAAATCTGGACCAGACTTACAAGCCACGAGATCTAGATCCCTTTGACCCGATGAGTCTCAGCCATTCCCGCTAAAGAGAAGGTTTGTTCCCCTACTTATTGATTTTATTTGCAGCTTTCCAAAACCCTCTTCTCAACTTTTGCCATCATTGTGAGCTTGGTAAGGGGGTTTCCTAGGCCAGAAGAGTCTGGTAATTTGGCCCTCTGTAAAATCGATATACTCAAATATGAGGTTAGGAATCCAAGAGGGTTCTTCCTCTCAACCATACTGGGCGCAAAACCTGTGGAGATTAGCGGCTGAAGGGTGAATCCGACGGGCTGGACATCGGGTCAGATGCCAATCCAACGGCCCTCGGACCTAGCTAAACAATGCGGTATCGAGCTTGAAAGACTAAGCAGAACAAAGTAGTGGAGACAATGTGCTGGACAGGAAATTAAGTGGTGGAGTAGGGCCAGATCTCGTCCCCGAGAGTCTGGTTCGCAAGACTGGAGGCTGAAGATGGTATTCCTCCTTTTGGACTGGCGCCAGGAAAGGAGGGTTTCGAGCGGTCCAGGCAAGCGTCTAGGTTAGCTGCCTAGGGACTAGACCGACTTTTGACCTCTACCTGTCGCTGTCGACCAGTTGATTTCCCCACACGGGCCTTATTGCCAGCTAGCTTGTGTCGCAGGCCGGGCTGAGAAGGGCGTCGAACTTGGCGATTTACAGACACGATGTGAGCCCCTGGTTGCTGGAAATTTCGAGAGGCTGGGCCTGAACAGATGCCAAGCCTTGGATGCCTTGCTGCTCGTGGCATCTGGGAGAGGATCGGCTGAAGTCATGTGTCGAACGACGGTAAACGTCTGGAGGAGAGCGATTTTGGGGTGTCTGGATGTTTGCCTTGTGGCAGGACAAATCCAGTATTAAAAGCCCCCATCTCCGACCTTGGAGATGTTCTTGTTTCCTCATCCCTTCCATCATCACCCTCTTCATACTCGTTCAAGAAAGTCGAATCATCTGTAGTCCCGCAACCATGCGCACCTCTCTCCTGTCCCTCGTGAGCCTCGTGCTCGTCACCGTTGCCTCTGCGGACTCTGAAGACAGGTATTACCTTGGCGCGATCAACCCCATCGCGCCCGAGAACGTATCCAACGATACGGCAGTCAGCAAGCGATCTGCCGAACTGGTTTCCCATGGTCCCTCGGTTCAACGGAACGTCCTGAAGCGCGCCGTGAACGGCATCAGCGATGCCCTACCAAGCCCATGGGCTTATATGGGATGGTAAGCATACTAATGGCTGTAAACGGCATATGCTGTCTTGTTTGGCCATAGCTGACGGTATTCTTACAGTTTTACTGAAGTCACGTCCTCGAGAGCGCTGAGCGGCGACAGCTACCACGGAGATGACATGTCGCAGGAGAAATGCATTGCTTACTGCGATGGAAAGGGATACGGTAAGCAAATCTCCCTCTTATACACACACACACACACACTTTAAAGCATTTCGAACTCGCTCTGACTGTTGACAGGGGTGGCCGGCGTCGAATGGGGCCGTGAATGCTACTGCGGCTACCTCCTCGATTCTGCCTCCGACAAGGCGCCTGAGACCGACTGCAAGAAGCCGTGCGCCGGCAACAGCGGCGAAGTCTGCGGTGAAGGCGGGCGGCTCAACGTCTTCACCAACGGCGACGCAGCGCCCGCCATTTTGGCCGCATCTGGAGAGTTCGACTCGCTCGGGTGCTACTCAGACCACTCCTCGGCTCGCACCCTGACCACCCGCATGAGCCTCCCCGGCAACGTGAGGGTCAGCGACTGCACCACGGCCTGCGCCGCCCAAGGCTTCCCGTACGCCGGGCTTGAGTTTGGCAAGGAGTGCTTTTGCGGCGCCAGCATCCAGAACGGAGGTGCCCCCATCCCGGCCAAGTCCTGCAATATGGTCTGCACTGCCGACAAGTCGCAGTACTGCGGTGGTGCGGCTGCTATCAACATCTATAAGAGCTCCAAGCCTGTTACAGGCGGCCCTAGTACGCTCCCTGACGGCTGGATCGCCCAGAGCTGCTACACCGACAGCCCCTCGCGGCGGGCTCTCTCGTACAGGGTGCCTAGCTTCAATAAGTTCAGCGCCGCCCAGTGTGTTTCTCAGTGCGACAGCCTCGGCTATGTGAGTATACGTCCTCCCCATCTTGCACTGCAAAGCGTCCTCCGCCGCCCCCTCCTTGCTCTACCTGCATAACGGGAGCTGACCCAAGCCACGTCAGGAATACGCCGGTACCGAGTACGGCTCCGAGTGCTACTGCGGCAACAGCATCGACGGCGGCAACTCGCAGGCGTCCAGCGGCTGCGACATGTCGTGCGCCGGCAACCAGTTTGATACGTGCGGCGGCGCCGGGCGCATCAGCATCTACAAAGCCGACTGCAAAGGCACGGGCGACTGCCACTTCAACTACGGCAAAATCGATGTAACGCACCCCGCGACCAAGAAGGAATGCTCGGATCGCTGCCACGCGAACCCTGACTGCGTGGTCTTCCAGGTCGGCTATGATAGAAATGTCCTCTTCTGCAACACTTTCAGCAAGCCCATTCCAGTCATCCGGGCGCATAGCACCAGCACGTACTGTTTGGCTGCCATCATGTACAACAGTGTCTGTTCTCTTTGAACGAGCCGGAGCAACTCACGCGGGAAAAAAAGGTCTGGCGTTTGCGAGCCATCAATGTAGTGTCAGGGCTGCATGTGCCCATTGCCGAAGGGGGGGGGGGGCTCTGGCAGTACTCATGTAATGGCGGACGCGTCCTAGGAGTTGTTGTTATAGTGATAGTGATTCAATGCAAAATCCCATTGCCCGTAAAGCTAAACATTCCCCCCCCCCCCCCCCCCTCTCTCTCCTCCATCTCTTTGTGGAGAATATTTGATGGGCGGAAGCGGCTCAAGTCGCATGAGTCGGTGCTTCGAGGAATACGTGCGCCGAGGCGGGGATCAACCAGGGAGTCGACATGGAGCTTGGAGATATGTGCGCATCGCCCTCCGACTTCTGGCCCGTGGTGGCAGAGAAGAGATGCCTCCTCGATTTCCGACAAACATTGACTGCAGACCAGCCAAAATGAGTAGAGTTTTTCGCAATGGAGGCGCCCTGAATCGTCCATCTTGCTCCATTACCTTTATGATTCCAAGTCTGCGAATCACGGCCAAGCACATTCTGGAGGATCCTGGGCTGGAGTCCACACACGATGACTTCGTAGAAAGGTATAACATTAAGACATCGTCCTCATGACTCGTCGTCAGATGCATGTCGAGAAATATGGTGGTGTTGCTGATGGATGGCCCAGTCTAGGACTGATTAGCTAATGGCTGTCAGCTATCGACTCGTCTTTATCCATAAGCCCCGTGCGTAAGCTTACGTAATTAACCAGCCCTCCCCCCAGCGAGTGAGTGCACTTCGACAGCGGAGCAGCGCGGGGAAACAGGAGCTGAGGGCAGTGGAGACGTGGGGGGGAGCAGGGGGATCGCGCTAAGCTAAAGCAGGTAAGCGACAGTATATGATTGGCTATAGTCAATGGCAGGACCTGGAGTGATACCATATTGGGACTAGCTCTTAGCACGGCGGCACCCACGTGCCCCTCTCGGCCCCGTACGGGTCACGCTTATCCTGCTCTCTGGCTGTCTGGTGGTCTCTTTCTTTCTGACTTCGAGCTCCGGGTGGACTGGGGCCCTCTTCACATGTCAGCTGCTGCGCCGTCCCCCAGAAAAGGAAAACCAAGGAAACGTCACCGTCGCACCTCCAGCAATTGAACCGAGTCACATTGAAACATGTGCCGCCGCTACCCTGGTCGCCTGGCTCAGGGACCCTCTGCCCACGAGGAGCCTCTTCTTCCATTGTCCATGTTGTCGTTGCCCTCGCTATCATCATTGTCTCTTCTCTCTCTTCCCGAAAAAATCAGCCAGTCCTGTCCTCATTGACGGCCAGCCAGCTTCTCCTCCGAATCCGCCATATCCCTCCCTCCCGAGACACCGTCGTCCATCCATTCAATCCTGGCACCATCTCCATTTCTTCCGGCCCTCGGCCGCTTAGCTTCGCCTTCCATCTCCAAACAACCGGAGCATCTCCCGGCTCTTATTCTCGAATCATCCCAGACACGAGAGTGGCGGCCCGTGACCTCGAACCGTTTTCTGCGCTGTTCCTCGCTAAGCCGCCTTCCCGTGCCCCGTCGCTTTGGTTGGGTGTTTTAGCCCAGGGAGCCTTCGCTTCGCTTCGCAATACTCACGCTGCGCTATCCCGTCGACCAGAACAACGCCAGGCTTGCCCCAGCCACGACAACCTCGACGACTGCGTGCGTTGTTGTTGCATGCTCAGCCTTGGCCTCCCTCCCTCGGTCCCTTGGCCCATGGTCTTGTGTCCTCGGAAACATACAAACATATAACAACTCCCATCTTTCTTCGAAACGACGACTTGCTTACGCTGCCGTTCTGCTGATACTTTGCAACCACCAGTCGTCATGATCGACCACGTGCTGGGAAGGCCGTCGGTCAAGTCGCGCCGCCTCCAAGTCTTGGCGGTGCTGGCTTTCTGGTCGGCATACCTCTTCAGGTACGTGATGCGAACGTAGGCCGCGCCGCGTCGCGCCTCTGCTCTCTCTCCTCTCCCCCCCCTCCTCCCCTCTCTCTCTTCAGTTTAGCGACATCATGTTGACAAGTGCCTTTTCCTCTGATGCAGAGGCCATCCCCATGGCCCGCCCGGTATGCGTTTCTTCTCCAAGCTCACGACGAAGCGCCTCACGGCATGGCAGACAGTCGTCATCACCATGATTTACCTCTACGCCGCCCGCCACTTCAGCACCCTCGTCGGCCTCGCTAGCCCCGAGCCCATGGCTAACATGTATGATGCTACCTACTTTCGTGCCACCTGGGTCCTCACTGCCCTAGACGCCGGCTTCTGGACCGCCATGAAGATCCGCGCAAAGTGGCTGCGTGACCTCGCCAGCATCGTCTTTTCCGTCTTCTACATGGTCGCCGCCGAAAAGGCCGATGAGAAGGTGCGCAAGGTCCGCGGCATGCTGACAGTCGAGCACCTGCGCGTGTCCTGGGACAAAGGGACGACGCCCTACCTGAGCTTCTTGCAGAACCTCATGAGACCCCGCTTCTCCCGCTGGCCGCCACGCGCCATCCGCATCCCGCGACCAGCGGGGAGCGATTACAAGGAGCCGGTGTCGGCTTGGCTCTATTTCGATGGGCCCCTGACCGACCTCGTACATCACAATAGGATCGTGCTGGATATCCCCGGAGGCGGATTCGTCGCTATGGATCCTCGATGCAATGACGATAAGTTGTTTGCGTGGGCGTCCAAGACGGGGCAGCCCGTCCTGAGTCTGGATTACAAGAAGGCTCCCGAGTTCCCTTACCCCTATGCCCTGAACGAGTGTTTTGACGTGTACACCACCCTCATCCGCAGCAAGGGAAGGTGCATCGGAATGTCTGGAAGGGAGACGCCCAAGATAGTTGTGACGGGCGACAGTGCTGGCGGCAACCTAGCCACCGCAACGACATTGATGATCATCGAGCGGACATCTGTCCCCATGCGCCGGTACTCGACCACCGGAGATCTGCCACTGCCCGATGGGCTCGTCCTATTCTACCCGGCGCTCGATATGAACATTGGGAACTGGATGTCGGACGAACAGATGTCGCTCATGAAGGACAGGAGGTTAAGGAGTACCAACCAGTCCATCATCAGGAAAAAGAGCATGCAGTACAACGACCTGGTCGGCACGCCGCACCACTCGGACGACGAGGAAGACAGCTCGAACAAGCAGTCCGCGGAGCTGACCGCCAAGGAGGCCGAGATCGCGTCCCAGCTGGCGCTCGCTAGCCCTCACCCCGAGTACTCGCACGGCGGCCCACAGGGGCCTTCCAACATGCAGTTCTCGACCGCGGACGTCAAGCGGAAGCAAAGCACCTCGCACCACTCCGAGCCCTTGAGGACTCGCCTCGCCATGTCCTCCATGATCTCCTATTTCAACGATCGCGTGCTCACCCCTGAGATGATGCGCGCCATGATCATTCTCTACATCGGCCCTCACAACCGCCCCGACTTCAGCAAGGACTACCTCCTCTCCCCCGTCCTGACTCCAGACTCCCTCCTCGCCCGCTTCCCCAAGGTCTATTTCCTCACGGGCGAGCGGGACCCCCTCGTCGATGATACCGTCATCTTCTCGGCGCGCCTGCGCAAGGTTAAGGAGGCCATGTTCGACCAGGCCCGCTCCGAGCGCTCCGACCACGGCGACGGTCTCGAATCTGTCTTCAACCCCAAGGACGTTGCCGAGGTGATGTTGATCCCCGGCATCTCCCACGGGTTCATGCAATTCCCCACCGTCTACCCGCCGGCCTGGAAGCATTTCGAACGGTCCGCTGATTGGATCACGGAGATCTTCACCTCCGCTGATGCCGTCCGCGAGCGCGAGGGCCGCGGGCGTCGCCGGGCCGGCGGCGGCCACCTTACGAACGGCAACACCGAGGGGCGCCACCACGTCCGCGCCGAGTCCAGCGGCGACGAGGATCGTCCCCTGGAGATTAGCATGACACGGGCTAACCGGAAAAGCATTCTGACCAAGGAGCCACAAGCGATGGATGAGAGCGAGTCCATCGTCGACAAGGGCGAGGGCGGCGGAAAGAAAAAGAACGGGCGCGCCAGGGGCGCGAGCAAAAGCGCCGGCGCGAGCCTGGTGAAGCTCAAGAGCACGGATGACCTGCTCGGCAGGAGAATGCAGGGGCTCGCCGGTGGCCTCACGGGCATGGGAGGACAAGAGTAACCAGGGGATAGTTGTACCTGTACGACGATTGACACCTACCATGATTTCAACGCAGCCAGATATTCGTGGTGGGGGCATATGCTTATACTGTACACATGTGGGGGGCTGTTACTGGGCGGCTATAGATTGGATTTGTCAACGAAACTGTACACACTCGGGACGTTTAGCACCAACTCTCATAGACACATGACCCACATTTTACCATAACAAGATAATAAGTCTCCTAGTCCCAGGTTTTTTTACTGTCACCTGTTGGCATGGACACCGTGTGTCAACGAATCCGCTCCCAGTAAGCCTTCCGAGGCAGCATTCATGCTCTATCCGCGAGGTCCTCTGGGATTAGACCCTCCAGTAACAGGAATCTCTCTGACAGTGGCAATGTGGCTATTAGTCGGCCGTGAAGGGCAGGGCTGGGCAGGGCTGGTCTGGTGTACCGCATGAACCTACACGCATCTCCATCAGTTCAATCCTCTCCGAGATGGAATGGCGCGGCTCATGAAAGCTGCATGCGATAGCGTGTCATTGAGGGCAAGAGGATTTCTTCATCAATGTCATAGAGTTGATATCGGAGCTTCGGGCGACGGAGAACTCAGACTTAGTATGGTCGACAGCGATGTTTGGTGAGGTTAGAGGTTGCCTAGGCTTATGAGATGGCCCACGACAAAGCTGGACACCTGGGTCCCAACGTCACGCGACGCTGTCTTATTAAAGAAGTCTTTTGGCCAACTATGTCCAGCGACGTAATCAAGTACATCAAGGAGTGCTGGCCCTGTGCAAGCATGGGCCCCCATAAGCCATCACATCCAGATCAACTAACCAACATCCTGCCGTTCACAACTAACCAACCTCCCATTCACACCCCATCCACCCCATCCACTTCATACAACCCAATCAACCAATCTTCGTTGACTAATCGTCATCACCCGAGCAACTTGATTGCTTCCTTTCCCTCACCATCTACATCCACGTACATCGTGCACCCCTAGACTTCAGCCGTGGATTAAGCTGGAGTCAAACCCAAAACAACCGTCAGGTCTGCAGGCCTGGAGAGAGTCCGACCTGTCACTCTCGTTTGATCCGGATCCCTAATCGTGGCGGATCGTGGAACGACGGTTACGAAGGGAACGCCTCGGGGTAAATTTTCTCGACTGGTACCTGGAGGCACCAGTCCACGCCGTCTTTCGCGTTTCGGTGGGCGCGAGAGTGGTGTGGACGAAAGGGGTCGCACAGTGGTCGATGTCGAGTGCATGGTGTTGTAGTTGGAAACAGGCGCGCGAATCCAAGTACAAACCTCTGCAGCATTACTCACAGGTAGTTGTGCGCGGCCCGTGAGACGCAAAAGCGCTTGTATTCGAGCAACCGACATGGTCCGAAATATCAGGGATCGGCGTTGAGAACAGTGGGCGGTCTCAAGCTTAACTGAGCAGAGCATTCGAAGGGATCAGAAAATCGATCAGCTAGGCTTTTTTCGGGAGTTTCTGCTGTCGCTCTTCGTCAGCGAACGGCTTCCACGTCGACTCGAACGACTTTTCTAGATTCAACATTATCTGCAGCTGACTTGGGCGGTCACGACTACAGTGGAAACGATGAGGGAGGTCTTTCTTTCCATTCAATGTTTCTAGGTGGATGGTAAAGTTGACGAAAATGGTGTACAAGACTGTGTTGAAGAGACAGTACGAAAAGGGGCATGCTGGCCTTATGTGCAGGGTTTGCCATTACTGATAGCATCAATAATCAACTATTCAAAGATCATATGAGTCTATTCCATAGAGTCGAAATTGCCGTATCCCGCCAATACTCGCCCCGCCTTTCTGGTGGCACGATGAGTACAAGATGGATTGTGACACATGATGGACTATTCCTGAATGTCTATCCGGAGAACACATTCGACCACGCTAGATGGATCTGACCGTGATTACGATCGGGCTTTTAAATTTATTCATTTTTTAAAAAAAAAACACTCGTGTGACAGGGAGCCTGAGATTTTACGAGCATGGTCATAATGGTAATTATTACGAAAACCCCACTGAGCACTGTAAACCAACTGCTCGTACCGTCTGACCACGCCAAGCTCATTGAATCGAATTACCCGGCCTGAGCAGGCTAGCGGTAGAAGGGCTCAAGGCCGCCGCGGAGCTTCAATGCATCTAACAAAAACCGTATGGCCGGTCCTACGTGAACCGGCGCAAGAGCAAGAAGTCTTGCACTGAGAAATCGACCCTGCCGCAACATGACCCAGGCCGATCTTGTGCCGATGACGGCGCGAACAGATGAAGTGTAAGTAAAATGCTTACTGCTTCTGGTTCCATCGTCAGCATCGGATGGCTTCGGAGCGTGGCGACGCTGGAGACCGTAGGACAGCGCGCGCGCGGGTCAAGATGTGCGATCGGTGGTCTTGGCTCAGTTTGAGGCTCTCTGCAATGCGTACACGTGCGAACTCTATGGACTCCACAGATGTCAGATTTCCATCATTACCCCCGCGCGGCTTACGGATCAAATTTTAACCCTATTGTGTCTCCAACCCAAGTCTGGGATTTTGATGAAGCGCGCGCACGCGTGTCTGAGCGGCCTGGTCAAGGGCTCCGGGTTAACGACATTGAAGGGCAGTGCAAACCATCGCAGGCCTCCACGAACCATTCGGGGGAAGGTAGCATGACCAGTTGAAAGTTGACGACGATCGGTTTTCGTGTGCATGAGCCGTTCTTTATGACGTTTTCGACCACATTCGTATAAGTCCCTCCAAGTGTCCCGTGCGTAATCGCCAAGCGTACGCATGGGCTAAAGGCTCCTTAAGCATACTTAGTAACTCGGGAGGCTCTTGTGTTCATTACCTAGTTTGAGTCTACACTGATACCATTTCATTACATAATACATGTCTACTACCAGTTATCAAACAATGGAGTCGAGATATCCAATCAGTGTCTGGGATTGATGTAGAGTACTTAACTATGGAAACCCACTAAACCTCAACAACCAATAATAACCCGCCTTGCTAGCTCAATCGGTAGAGCGTGAGACTCTTAATCTCAAGGTTGCGGGTTCGACCCCCGCGTGAGGCTCAAATCCTCACCGCGATTGGCATAGCCACTCTTCGGGTTACACTTTTTGTGTTTTTCTCATCTCGGTCGTCGTGTCTAATGCCGCACATAACACATCTGTCGCCGTTTTTATAAACGTCGCTGCAATGTGATCCCTACATGGACATGGTTAGTATATGTATTTTTACTCTTTGCGGTAAGTATCCCTCCCCACTGAAGTTTGTAGTGGTCCGTTTGCAGAACAAGCATGTCTACTACTACAGTCTACCCGTTGACCAAAGTTGCATTCTTGATACACATACACGGTGCTATTTTATGGCGTAGACCAAAACCGCACATGGAGAACATGCTGCGAATTCGGACCCCGCAACTGGATTTACTAGATGACTAAGCTCACTTACACGGATCACTACAAACTCGTAAGAGTAGGGGGGCCATTCGGTTTCTCAAGGCCTACTACTCGTTTTCACCAAGCGCCCAACTCTACAAGGCATCTTCAGATGTGACGGCCATTATCCCGCGGTGAAATTCGACTAATACCAGGTCATCAAACGAACCCACATGGAAGATATAACAGGGGGAGCAGACCAGA